ATATAAACAGTTTAAGTCAAATTTCTTGAACATTTTAAACAATTTAATTTATACTTTCTATAACCATTTTCCAATTATAATTAAAATAGACCAAATTAACTTTCATGTATTAAAAATTTGTAGGCTATATAAACAGTTTAAGTCAAATTTTTTGAAATATTTTGTTAAACTATCTAATTTGCACTTTATATAAAATTTTAAAATTATATTTAAAAATAAAATCAAAATAAATGTTCAACAACTCAAAATTAATAATTATTAGTATGGGGGTTACAAATTTAAAAATAAAATCAAAATAAATGCCCAACAACTCAAAATTAATAGTTATTAGTATGGGGGTTACAAATCTGAAAATACATAAAATAATTTTACTATAAATTACTATTATAAGAAATTCATTTTCCACAATATTGGTGTCAAATAAGATTATTGTGGTAAATCAATATGAATAAATAAACACTTTGATAATAATTAAGATTAGAAATAAATATTGGTGTCTTATATGAATTTTATTCTCTACATTATATTGGTATTAAAAAGTATGGTGGAAAAGAATCAAAACTTATAATATTGAAGAGTAAAGTAATGGAGAGATATTTATTGATTTAAATTTTAAAAAATTAGTTATGGTATATTAATGTGGATAATTAAGAGATAAAAAATATGACATATGTCAAGCCTTTGAAGTGCCAAATATCAAAAATTTATTTATTTGAAGTGCCTTTATCTAAAATAAATTCCTCTGAAGCATCGTCTTTATTTATTGTTTATCTCTATTTTCTCGTCTTGCTATATATCAACCAAGTTGTTGATCTGAAATTGGAACTGTTTTAGTACGGTTCTTGTCTGATTCTTTTGCTTTTATGTATCTCTTCAAGTCACATATCTCATTTATATTGCAAATCATATCGTTTCTTTAATTCTCGCTTTCTTTCCTTCTCTATCGTCTCTAAGATTTCTTTCTTTTTTGTTTGTTATGGATAAACTTGATTTAGGTAACCAATGGAGGGTTTTTGATATGAAAATATTGTAGTAGAGGATGTTCAAGTTCATGTCCCAAAAGGCACAGGATATGGTTCTAGCGGTGAACATGGTTTAAAGAAAAAACATATTGCGCAGAAAATTGAGATTGCAACTAACAGAGCATATTACTTAATGGACGACAACAAGAAAATGGTTGCGGTGTTCAAATCGGTAGATAAAGAAATCCATGAAGAGCATTATGGTTGGATAAAAGGAGATAATGCCATACGAGAACTTGCTGCATACCTCTTGGATCTCCCTAAAAAGGAGCAGAAGATGGATTCGGAGGCATCTCTCGAAAACCATGATACACTGTTTGCAATTCAAAGATAAATGAGAAACTCAGTGGACAAGAGGATCATTGCAAAAATACATTCCGAATGAACCATGGCTCAATCTTGGTCACAAAATTTTCAGTATAGAATATTTTCAATAAATAACGTTGATTCACATTCGATACGGAAACATGGGAGTAGACAAGTTTAATATCTTGTTGAGCAAGGACCTTGATCCCGATTGATCATGGAGTGTGGTTTCCGACATCGGTAATTTGATTTATTTATGTTTTGATGAGCTTTTGTTTTCAATAAGTTGATTAGAGAATCTAATTCATATTTTCAACTCTTTTCTTTTTAGTTTCGTCATTATAGGTATGATTGGGCCTCATGGGAAAAAGCAATATTTCGCATACTTGCCCAAGATGGTCTGGTATGTGGAGACTTTTATGTAGAAAATGATTTGATGATTCTTAGAGCCAACGATATACATTTGGGAGAGGATGCTCTCTTCGTCTTCAAAGTCTAGCATTTGATGTTGATAGGAGTTTTAGGGACATGTTCCTTGAGATATCGCAAAACTAATGACATATAATCTTTCCTTAATTGTTGACTCGTGCAAAGGTTTTCAGACCACCGGAGGCGAAAAACATCTCATGGAGAACATCAGAGGGAATATAAAACAATACTTGGAGTTTGCTAGAGATTAAGTGTTCGTGATATATGAGATTATCTATATATAATTAGTTAATCTGATATTATTTTTTCTTTAATTTTTCTTTTTGTAAGGCTAGACTTGAATCTGAAAGTTTGAATTCTAAGGTGCAGCCACCTATACAAAAATCGGAGCCACAACCATCAAAACCAATTTCAAGATTCAAGGCATATAGAAGGTAGCCCGTCAAGATGACTGCTATGTACCAATATATAAATTTAACTTGATGTTTTTTTTCCTAGGGTTGGGCGTGAGTGAAAACCACCATAAATCTTTTTATGATGTTTTAATTTGAAATGTGCAAATTACATAGTTAATGTAGCTAATCAATTATATGTGAGTGCACCATATGTTATAAATGGTGTGATTAGTCACATAAGTAAGAAAGTTAATGCTAATAAGTTAATAAAACAACAACTGAAACCAATTTAATGATATTAATTGAAAAAAACGTTTAGGCACATTCAAACAAAAACATCACTACATTGGAATATAAAAGTTAGAGAAGAAGTTATTTTATTTTTTCATTAAATTTGTTAACTTTTGCAAGAAGGGAAAATATTTAAAAATGAATTGTCAAGTAACTCAATAAGAAGAAAATGAACATTTTAAAGTATTTAATTTATACTTCTTTTTTTTGTCAACGACACATTAATTAATAAATAAAACAAACTAAATTAACTTTCATGTATTAAAAATTTGTAGGTTCTATAAACAGTTTAAGTCAAATTTCTTGAACATTTTAAACAATTTAGTTTATACTTTCTATAACCATTTTCCAATTATAATTAAAATAGACCAAATTAACTTTCATGTATTAAAAATTTGTAGGCTATATAAACAGTTTAAGTCAAATTTTTTGAAATATTTTGTTAAACTATCTAATTTGCACTTTATATAAAATTTTAAAATTATATTTAAAAATAAAATCAAAATAAATGTTCAACAACTCAAAATTAATAATTATTAGTATGGGGGTTACAAATTTAAAAATAAAATAAAAATAAATGCTCAACAACTCAAAATTAATAGTTATTAGTATGGGGGTAAACAATTTAGTTTATACTTTCTATAACCATTTTCCAATTATAATTAAAATAGACCAAATTAACTTTCATGTATTAAAAATTTGTAGGCTATATAAACAGTTTAAGTCAAATTTTTTGAAATATTTTGTTAAACTATCTAATTTGCACTTTATATAAAATTTTAAAATTATATTTAAAAATAAAATCAAAATAAATGTTCAACAACTCAAAATTAATAATTATTAGTATGGGGGTTACAAATTTAAAAATAAAATAAAAATAAATGCTCAACAACTCAAAATTAATAGTTATTAGTATGGGGGTTACAAATCTGAAAATACATAAAATAATTTTACTATAAATTACTATTATAAGAAATTCATTTTCCACAATATTGGTGTCAAATAAGATTATTGGTTTTATTGTGGTAAATCAATATGAATAAATAAACACTTTGATAATAATTAAGATTAGAAATATATATTGGTGTCTTAAATGAATTTTATTCTCTACATTATATTGGTATTAAAAAGTATGGTGGAAAAGAATAAAACTTATAATATTGAAGAGTAAAGTAATGGAGAGATATTTATTGATTTAAATTAAAAAATTAGTTATGGTATATTAATGTGGATAATTAAGAGATAAAAAAATATGACATATGTCAAGCATTTGAAGTGCCAAATGTCAAAAATTTAGAGCAAGTTTAGAGGAAACCTTGTCATATTATATAAGATTATTAACCAAAAAGACGACATTATATTTTAAACCACAAATTATTCTATTAGGATTCTTAACTAAAGATTGAAATGGTATAATCTCGAACAGAGAAAATAACAAAGCGGATAACGAAGAAAGCCCAAAAGAATACAAAGGAAAGACGGGCACTTCACGCTGCATTAGTTTTGTCTTGAGTCTTGACAGTCTTGTAGAAGATGTGAAGTTATTTACAAAGAACGAGAGTGGTTATTATATTGATGTTGATTATTGATTTATCTTCTGAACTCAAATATTTCTTATTTAGTATTTGCGAGAAAGAATTCTTTATAGTTTAATATAATCTGAATTAAGACGCATTGTTAGGTAAAGTTGGTGTCTTTCTTTGGTTTTGACTTTTGAGAGGAACCAATAAAGACTTCAATGAGTTTATGTACTGACTTTTTTTTTTCTAAAACAAACTTATTGTTTTAAGAGAATTTGTACTCAATGGAAAAAGTTAGATGATATTTAAGAAAATAAGAATATGGGGAAATAAAATATTTGTTAATTAGTTTTTGGACGATTTTTGGATGATTTTACCTTTTATTTATTCCCTCATTTTCAATTTATTTGTTAGGAGACAAATCGTTTTCTCCGTAACATGCATGCTATTTTCTTACGTGTAACGTGTAGAGCTAGTTATGGAGGTTAGAGGTTAGGATTTTAGGTGTAGGGTTTAGTAGTCCATTTGATAAAATTAAACGCCAACGTTAAAGGAAAACATATTATAGGAAAAATCACTCATATCATAATAGTTAAATTAAGGATAAAAATCGTAAGTAATTGCCGTCAAAAAAAAAAATCGTAAGTAATAATATATTTTTTCTGTTCCAATGTCATTTGCCACTTAAAATTTTACAGAAAAAGTAGTTGTGGTTTCTTGATTTTTTTTGTATATTTCAGTACAATAAATCGTTTGGTTGTAAGAAATCCCCATAAATTGGGGAACTAATCAAATTTGAACAAGTACTTATCTTGTTATATAGCTAGTAATCTGTATAATCTCCAAAAGATAAAGAACATTGCAAATCTAATCTTAAACCATGGGCGCAATGGGTTTTCATATTTTTTGTTTAATTCTCGTCACAATTTTCGTATTCCATAGCCCATGTTATTCCGATAAAGGTACAATCATAAACTAGTTAGTAGTTACTATTCATCCAACATCATGGCCATGTTCAATAACATTTAACCTGTTACGTTATGTTAGTTTATAAAAACTGTTTTCATAAAAACAGGGTATTATGGATTTATGAAAGATGCAACACTAGCACCAACTTATGCTCGCTTCGACTACATAGTCATCGGAGGAGGAACCTCCGGTTGTGCATTAGCCGCAACGCTCTCTCAAAACGCCAACGTTTTGGTTCTTGAACGTGGCGGCTCTCCCTATGACAATCCGGCAGCTAGCGATATCGAAAACTTCGCCAACACACTCTTAAACACCACACCAAAAGCTTGGTCGCAGCTTTTCATCTCCGAGGACGGCGTTTATAACCATCGTGCGCGCGTCCTCGGTGGAGACTCGGTGCTGAACGCTGGGTTTTACTCACGTGCGGAAGATTATTATGTGGAGAAGTCCGAGTGGGAGATGGAGGCAGTGGAAGCTGCTTATGAGTGGGTCGAGAAGAAACTTGTGTTCAAGCCACAAGTGATGGGATGGCAATCGGCATTGAGAGATGGGCTTTTGGAAGCTGGGGTGGTTCCATACAATGGTTTCACGTTCGATCATATTGTTGGGACTAAGATTGGCGGTACAATCTTTGACCCCGCGGGCCATAGACACTCGGCTGCAAATCTGTTAGAGTATGCTAACCCGGACACGATTGTTGTTTACTTGCACGCTCTTGTTCACAAAATCCTCTTCACCACTAAAGGTAATTTGCTTACATTCACATTTTTTTCTTCATTATTATTTCTATATACTTTGGATATGAATACTCTGTTTTGGACAGGAAGATCGAGGCCTAAAGCGTACGGAGTTATATATCAAGACGGAAATGGAGTGTTTCACAAGGCAAAACTGGCGAAAAACGCAATGAGCGAGGTGATTTTGTGTGCGGGCGTCATCGGGAGCCCGCAACTATTGATGCTGAGTGGTGTGGGTCCTAAGGCCCATCTTGAGGCCCATGGGGTCAATCCGGTCCTCGATCAACCCATGGTTGGGCAAGGGATGGGAGATAATCCAATGAACCTTGTCCTCGTCCCTTCTCCTCAACTTGTAGAACTGTCCCTCGTAGAGGTCGTTGGTATCACCAAGTTTTATGATTTCATTGAAGGTGGAAGTGGCTTAAGCCTCTCTCAAAACTTGACCCGTAGGTTCTTCGATACTAATTTGAATATTCTCAACGAGGTACAATTTTAAATACATTAAAAGGTTATTATAACTTATATTACTCAATCTTGCATGAGACTATATGTCAGTCATTAATAACGCATTATGCATGCAGACACTCTCCACCCAGTCAATCGTAGACTTCTTCAAATCCTTGGATCTTCCATTGAATATGATGGAAAATGCGGGCTTGATCTTCCACAAAGTCGATGGACCAGTCTCGAGAGGTTACCTAGAACTCCGAAACAAAAACCCAGATGAGAATCCTTCAGTGACATTCAATTACTACCAAGAACCAGAAGATCTTGAAAGGTGTATTAAAGGACTTAAAACCATTATTAAAGTGGTAAACTCGAAGGCCTTCTCCAAATACAAGTACCCGAATGAGACCGTACGTGGACTACTCAATCGCACGCTTAGCCTTCCTATCAATCTAAGGCCAAAACACGCCACCTCGAAGTCCAACTTGACGCAGTTTTGCATAGACACTGTAATGACTATTTGGCATTACCATGGAGGTTGCCAAGTTGGAAGAGTGGTCGACAAAAATTACAAAGTTTTCGGTATCGATGCCTTAAGGGTCATCGATGGATCCACATTTCTCAAGTCTCCAGGGACTAATCCACAAGCCACAGTCATGATGCTCGGAAGGTAAAAACACTGATACCAAATTAATGATCATGTGATTCTTCAAGAAATGATTGTTGAGATTTGAGAATGTTATGTGTAGGTACATGGGGCAAAAGATTCTTCGAGAGAGAGCTGCTTTTGGATCGGAGAAAAATATTATGATTATTCGATCGTTTCTCCAACTAAAGATGAGACCAGTATATGATCATCATCAAAGAAAAGAAAATTCTGAAAAAATAATCAGTAATGTATATCAATATCACACACATATCTCATGAATATTTGGAATAAAGAAAGAAATTTGATTTCTTATATGGGCCTAAATTGGGATTGAAATTGAATGGTCCGATTATACGGTTTACTAAGCCGAGTTAAGTAAACCGGAAAATATCAATATTCAGTTCTCAACTTCATTTATTAACTCATTCTCCGTCGTCCGGAACTCTGCAAACGATTTATTAGGGTTTATCGAGAGCGAAGAGAAGGAGAAAGCGAAACCTAAAATCGACACTAATGGCTGACGAAGATTACAACGAAGTCGATGATTTGGGGTTATTATTCTCTCTTCCTCTCTCGGGTCCTTATGTATTCGTTATTCGTACTCGGATTTCAAAAGATTCTATCTTCTTCTCGACGAATTCGTAAACGATTGAGAGCAAATTAGATTCGTTATTGACTAAATTAACAGTGTTTATACATGGGTTTCTTCGATGAATTGTTGGCATAGTACTGATTCTAATCGTTTGTCCAAAAAAAAAAATACCGATTCTAATCGATTTCAAGGTAGAAACCCTAATTTCATGGTGGGTTGATTGAGAAAGAACAAAAAACGCTATTTTTGGAACTCTATGAGCTTTTTCTAGTGAAACTTTGGGTTATGGTTTAACATTGGTTTCATTGCTATCTTTCAAATTGTTTGATTGTGGTATTTCAATTGCAGATATGAGGATGAGCCAGCGGAGCCTGAGATTGAAGTAAGATAATTTTCTTCTTTGTTGAAGAGACGTGGATATTGCTTATTACAATACATTCTGTTTCTGATTAGTTTTTTGTGTGTAGGAAGGAGTAGAGGAAGATGCTGAAATGAAGGAGAATGATGATGTCAATGGTGAGCCTCTTGAAGCTGAAGATAAGGTCGAAACAGAACCTGTGCAACGTCCACGTAAAACGTCAAAGTTTATGACTAAGTATGAGCGTGCTCGTATCCTCGGCACTCGCGCTTTGCAGATTAGGTATGGTTCTTTCTACCCCTTTTGTTTCATGACTATCAAGTATATATCTTCAGTTTGTTAAGAATTTTACTATTGCTTTCTTATAAAACTCGATGAGGGTACTTAAATTCTTCTGAGAACAATTTTTGTACTGTTAAGTTGGCTTGAAAAGTTTGATTCTTAATGTTGTTTTTGTCTGATACAGCATGAATGCTCCTGTCATGGTCGAGCTAGAGGGTGAGACCGATCCACTTGAGGTGTGATACTTTCTTCTTGTTGTTTTTGGACATGTTCTGGCTGTCAGTAAACTTAGATATATATGATCATTTGAGCTAATTTATTATGATTTGGCTTCAGATTGCGATGAAGGAGCTTAGGCAGCGGAAGATACCATTCACAATTAGACGCTACCTACCTGATGGGAGGTGAGAGATTGCATTGAGCTTATATTGTTCTCTTCACTCATTTGATCTCTTCTTTTCTTTTGACTGACTTATGATTCTGAATCAGTTTTGAGGAATGGGGAGTTGATGAACTGATCGTGGAAGATTCATGGAAACGTCAAGTAGGTGGTGATTGATAATCTGACCAGCAACAAATCCGTATGTAATTTGCAATCTTTTGCTCTCATATGGATAATAATTTTCTGATGTTTTAATAGAACTAAAAATCAGTGAAACTTATGTATAATACTGGAATCATATTCCTAAATTTTGCAAAACTAGAAACCCCAAGTTCCATAATTCCACTATATCATTATTATACATATTAGAAACAGAACATGGACAGATAGATGTACACATTCATACTCTTTAAGTTCATCATACATTGATTAAAACTATTCCAAGATCAAGATTTTCTTAAAGCAAATGTCTCTAAGTAATATCTCACGCTTCTTTATCCGTTTTGCGGTAAATCTCCCTCTCTTGAAGAATCCTTTGGCCCATATACCTACACAAAACACTCGACTCAATCAGTTCTCTATCAAATCTTCAACATATTTTTATAGATTATTTGATCATTTGGTTTATGCATTTACCTTCCGAGCATCATAACCGTAGCTTGAGGATTAGTCCCCGGAGACTTGAGAAATGTGGATCCATCGATGACCCTTAATGAATCGATGCCTAAGACTCTGTAATTCTTGTCAACCACTCTTCCAACTTGGCAACCTCCATGGTAGTGCCAAATTGTCATCACAGTGTCAATGCAAAACTGCTTCAAATTGAACATCGAGGTTATGTGCCGCGGCCTCAGATTGGTAGGAACGCCTAGCATTAGATCGAGTAGTCCATGAATGGTCGCGTCCGGGTACTTGAATTTGGAGAATGCCTTGGAGTTGATAACTTTGATAATGGTGTTGATCCCTTCAACACATATCTGTAGATCCTCTGGCTCTTGATAATAGTTGAACCTTACTGAAGGATTATCATCTGGGTTTGTGTTCCTAAGCTCCAAATGACCTCTCGAGATCGGTCCCGCGATTTTTTGGAGGATCAAACCGGCTTTTGTGGTCGCATTCAATAGAGGATTGGATTTGAAAAAATCTGTGATGGATTGGGCCAACAGTGTTGGAGATGTAGTACTAGAAGTACGGCTTGTCTGAATCTTACACAATGAAAAAAAAAAACAGATTTGACATGTCGTTTCATGAAGATAAATATTAAAGTTATATAATAAAATTCAATGTGTTAATCTATATTATACCTCGTTGAGATAATTCAAAACACCATCGAAAAATCTACGAGTCCAACTATAAGAGAAGATGACACCACTTGCTCCTTCAATGTAACTTTCAAACTTTGTGATCCCAACGACTTGTATCAGAGAAACCTCGACAGGCGTAGGAGAAGGAATAAATATGGCATTCATCGGATTATCTCCCATCCCTTGCCCTACCATCGGATGATCTAACACCACCGGTTTAATCCCGTGAGCCGCGAGATGAGCCGCGGGACCTATGCCGCTCAGCATCAACAATTGCGGGCTCCCAATGGCCCCCGCGGACAAAATCACCTCATTCATTGCATTCTTCTCTAACTCTGCCTTGTGTAACACTCCGTTCGCGTCTTGAAATATCACTCCGTATGCTTTTGGCCTTGGCCTTCCTGTCCAAAACATAAGTGGAAGGGGACATATAAACCAAACCGAACCGAATCCAAATTTTCATGTTTCAATGAAACTGAACTGAAATCAATTTTAGTCCAAACCAAACCAAGACTAATATGTAGATGAATTAATAATACCTTTGGTGGTGAAGAGGATCTTTTGAACGGAGGCATGCAAGTAGACAACAATGTTGCCCGGATTAGCATATTCCAACAAATCAGCCGCCGTGTGTCTATGACCAGCACGGTCAAAGATCGTACCACCGATCTTAGTCCCATAGATATGATCGTACGTGAAACCGTTGTACGGAAACTCACCAGCCTCCAAAAGCCCATCTTTAAACGCCGTTTGCCATCCCATCACCGGCGGTTGAAACGCCACTTTCTTCTCGACCCACTCGTAAGCAGCTTCCACTTCATCGCTCTTCCACTCAGCCTCCTTCACGTACTCTTCTCCCGCACGTGTGTAAAACCCGGCGTTTAACACCGAGCCACCACCGAGGACACGTGCACGTGTGTTGTAAACGCCGTCCTCGGAGATAAAAAGCTGCGACCACGAATTAGGTGATGTGTTTGAGAGTGTGGTGGCAAAGTTTTCGATATCCGTTGCCGTCGGATTGTCGTAGGGAGCGCCGCCGCGTTCAAGAACCAAAACGCTAGCGTTTTGAGATAGCGTTGCGGCTAACGAGCAACCGGAAGTTCCTCCTCCGATGATTATGTAATCGAACCGAGCAAACATTGGCGCAGAAGTTGCATCTTTCATAAAACTGTAATAGCCAGCTTCACGTTTTTAAAAAAGACCACTAAATTAATACCAAGAATTCAAATGTTAATGAATATTTATCGTCACACATTGAATGATACGTAAAAAAAAACTATACCTGTATCTGGCAAACACGAGGCATGAGAGATGTATGTTACGATGAATATTATGCGAAATAACCATAATATTTGTAAACCCATTATGGGTGAAAGATTAAGTTTGATTCTTTATATTTAGATTAGAGCAAAAAATAAGAATAGGTGTGATAGGGTTTATATAATAAGATGAAGCATAAGCCTCTTTTCGTTTGCCTTTATGAGAGGAAGCTTTTATGGTTCACCAGCACATATTTATTGGTCATAGAATCATACAAAGATTTTAGGGTCTTGGTTTTTTTTTTAATGAACAAGGAATGTTCTTGTTTCTCGTTTGTTTTATTATTCGAATCTCTGCAGTTATAATATAGCTAAATTAATAGTCACGTACAATGAAATTCGATCAAAAATGTTAAAACTATTTTGACTATTAGTTTTATCTAAATGTCAAATAGAAAAAATAGTTAATGGGTGATTAGGTAAAAGTATTAAGTAACACATACACATCATTATAAATTTCTTTAATCTTATATAGCTAAATTAAGAGGCACGAAAATGAAATATGATCAAATTCGAGTTCAAACTATTTGACCAGTACATGTCAAATAGAGAAATAATTAATGAGTGTTAGCCTGTTAGGTGTGAAAGTAGTAGTTACACATCAATTATAATTTTATTTGTTTGATCTCTTGCATGAAAAGATCTTATGGCAACAACCTCTAATTATCGATATGCATAAAAATCATAGTGCAATACCTTTTTTAAATAAATTATAATGTCAAAACTTTAGCGGTTGGGGTTTAGGGTTGTCTTATAGCAATATTAATGTCATAGTTATTCAATCATTACAAAACAATAAATGGTCCTTAAAAATGTGTTATATTCCAGTATCCCATATATATTCCCAGATAGAAAAAAAAACAATTTGCAATTAACTAGTGTCCGTTGTTAACAGAGAAATAAGAGTTAAATGAGTAATGCAAAAGTTACTTGCTAATTTTGTAACTGATTTGATCTGATTTATGAAAATTATAGGACCGACACAAATAGAAAGAAGTTAGCTCCAACTGCGGACTGTCCATAACTTTGTTTACATATAAGAGTTTAGTTTTTAATTCACACTATCTTTGGTGCCAATATGTGCACGTTTTTATTATTTGATTATCTATTTAGAGGAGGCTTTTTGAGTTTTGGTGGATTTTAGTGGTTCTAAGAACTGCACATATCGGATCTACTTTTATGAGCCTCCTTCCACAGATTTAGTGAGTAGGGCCTGCTTTTAATTTGGTTGTTTTCCTGTTGTTATATGTTTCATTTGACTTACCAATTTCAAATTTAAAATAGAGAAATATTTTAAAATATCATACTTTTAAGTTTTAGTTCTGAAAATACCATTACTAGTTTGTTTTCCCAATAGTACCACAAATTCTTATGACCAACGGATTGTTGAATACCAGGGATCACGATTCCACGGAAGAAAAAAAAAAAACCTCTATCCAACATATGAATTAGCAAGGAGATGGTTCTACATGCACCACACAGAGGGCCAGCTCAAAGTATTATTGGGCCCTATGCTATGTTGCAAATTTTTTTACATGATGGCCTAAATGTTTAACACTTAAAAAATTAGATCCTATTTTATAATTATTTAAACATTTGGACCCTAAAATACAAAGAAAATAGAATTAAAAAATGGAACCCTATGCTCTTGCATATTTAGCACACCCCAAGAATCGGGCCTGACCACACACACAATTAGACAATTGTTTTATGTGAGATACAAAATCACGACAAGCGATTAGACATATTACACGTTGAATTTTTCATCAATAATCTCAAATAATTTTTATTCTATTAATATCGAAATAGTTTTTTTTTTGTCATCCAAAATTAATTGTCGCTCAAAAGAGCTATTCCTGAGGAATGTTGTTTACATATGTGATATGAAGCGGTTCCGTACGAACTCTATTAATATCGAAATAGTACACCAAAAAAAAAAAACATTAATAGTGTACTTAATTTAGTCGTCTATTATGTTTTTTTTTTTTCCGGTAAAATCAAAACTTATGGGTTGATATGAAACCACTTGATTTATCTTTAAACATAAAAACATTATAAAAAAATCCTTCTTTATAATAATTTATTTTTATTTCGTTCTGATTTTATAGATCAATGGATTAACTATTTAAGTTATAATAAATTGGTAAGTTATTTGAAGATGTCTGTCATCTCATATATTGGGCCTGTAGTGCTTTCAGAAGCCCATTACAAAAGTTTGGGCTGTCCAATTACTACTTCGTTTTTTGAAGTCATGTAATTAATTTGTTGTTTGCTTTGGTTCATTCTCTTTTTCGCTGGATTTGTCTCTCTGTCTCTCTGCTTTATCCGATCGGCGCCGGAGAGATTCTTGGTAATCTTCTTCACTTCTTCTATTGGACATACTCTCGAAAAGACCCAATCGTCGGATTCTAGATTCCAACTTTTTGTTTCGATTTGTCCACTGGTGTACTGTGTTCTTATCGATCCTGAGTTTTCGAATATTGCTAGTTCTAAACCAGAATGAGAGATTATTTGATACTAATCAGTCTCTAGATTAAGATTTAGTTGTTAAAGAATTGGACTTTCAAATTCGATTTGGAGTTATAAAAAAAAAAAACCTGAATTTATGTTTCTCTTTGAAATGTGTTTATAAGGGTAAGGGAAGAAGATGAGTGGTGAAGTTGTTATAGCTGCTAGAGTATATCGTGACCTTCTTAAAGCAGTGGTGAAACATGTTGGTAAAGAAGATCACAAGTCTCATTTCATTGACTTTGTGAAGCAAGAATTCAGGAAGAATGCAAATTCGGAGACTATCAACCTCGCCCGCAATTACACTTATCTTCTCAATAGCATTCACTCTCACAAGGTGATGTCTTTTTTAAGATTTCTGTATCACATTGGCCATTTGTTCTTTATCAATGCATTTGTGTGTTTAGTCTCTCACATGAATAAGTTATCTGGTTGTTTGCAGGATCTACTGTTCTCGTACAACATTGCGGTTGATAGAACCGAAGAAATGAAACGAGTGCTTAATAAATCTGCAGCAAGTGTAGGGCTTCGTCTTCCTGAAGTTTACGAGCCTTGATCAGGCAATGCATACGCATTTCTCGTCTTTCCGAGAGAGAAGCCGTTCTGGATTCTTCATTTCTATAGACAGGTCTTGGGTTAATTTTTGATTAAATGAGATAGTAGATGGAGCCAGAGAGCTCTTATTTTCCTTTAAGCTTCTAAGTATTGAAAAATCCGAGACGCGTGATTTACAATTTTTGTTGTGTTTGTACCGCATTTGTTTTAGGATGTGTACAATGAACATATTCATGATCTTGTTATGTTTGATGGAAACCACCAAAGTGAGAGAATTCAGAAGCAATTGCAAATTCTGATACAAAGAAGCCAGGCCAAAGTAAATGAAAGAATCACTAGTTTTCCTAATTAGTCTTTTACTTCATTAGCATTTTGATCTGATATTATTAGTAAATGTTATCCAAGACATAAGAAACCTTACAAGTCTTGAAAACTTATAGCTATTTAGAGGAACTAGTTATGATCATGTCTATATTTGGATGATGAGTAAAAAATGGTAAATAAGATTTATGATGAGAAATTAGAAACCCAAAGGGTTTTATCCAAATCTCGATAAGCCATCCACCGCTTGTGTTTATCACTTTATCTGGTTCTTGTTTTGTATTTTTTGATTTTTTCTATTTATTTGTGGGATATTTAGTGGAGACTTCGATGTTGACACTTTTATTTTCTTAATCATTTTTACGGCTCTGGTAGCTTTGGCTTTAATCTAAAAGCTAAGATCAATAGAGAGCTTTGAGCTGAGCATAGCAGAGAAGAGTTATGGGGAAAGGAGGGATGTCTCATGGAGAAGGCTCAAAGGTTGAAGAAGAGAACATGGCTGCTTGGTTGGTTGGTCTCAATACCCTCAAGATCCAACCTTTTGTTCTTCCTTCAGTTGGTAAGATATAATTTTATCTGGGATTTATTTATTTTGTATTGTCATGTGATCCTTTGGTTCAAAGCCTTGGAAACTGATAGATTTGTGTTCATGCAAAGGTCCTCATGATGTGAGAGTTAGGATGAAAGCTGTTGGTATTTGTGGAAGTGATGTTCATTACCTAAAGGTAATTATGCTATAATCAAAGATAATCTTTTTTTTGGTTCTCTGGTTTGTTATGGCTCTTTGACATTGGTTTTTGATGTGTGTAAATGTTACAAAACAAAGACCATGAGATGTGCTGATTTTGTGGTGAAAGAACCGATGGTGATGGGACATGAATGTGCTGGGATCATTGAAGAAGTAGGTGAAGAAGTGAAACATCTAGTGGTTGGTGACCGTGTGGCTCTTGAACCTGGGATTAGTTGTTGGAGATGCAATCTCTGCAGGGAAGGACGATACAACCTTTGTCCAGAGATGAAGTTCTTTGCAACTCCACCGGTTCATGGCTCTTTAGCTAACCAGGTGGTTCACCCTGCGGATCTATGCTTCAAATTGCCTGAGAATGTGAGTTTGGAGGAAGGAGCAATGTGTGAACCACTTAGTGTTGGTGTCCATGCTTGTCGCCGAGCTGAGGTTGGTCCTGAAACAAACGTCTTGGTAATGGGAGCTGGACCTATTGGCCTTGTCACCATGTTGGCTGCTCGGGCTTTCGGTGTGCCTAGAATTGTTATTGTGGATGTTGATGAGAACCGTTTAGCTGTAGCAAAACAGCTCGGTGCAGATGGGATTGTTCAAGTGACAACAAACTTAGAGGTTCCTTACTCTTCTTTTACTTCCTAAATCATTCTGAAACATTAATGATCTGATGGTACAAAGATAAGAACTTTTCCCTTTTAACTATCGCAGGATGTTGGTTCTGAGGTTGAACAAATTCAGAAAACTATGGGCTCAAACGTCGATGTGACATTCGATTGTGCGGGTTTTAACAAAACCATGTCGACAGCATTAGCAGCCACTCGATGTGGCGGTAAAGTCTGTCTTGTCGGAATGGGTCACGGTATAATGACTGTCCCTCTCACTCCTGCAGCTGCAAGGTAACCTCTTTTGACCATCATAGTAAGAAAAAAAACTTTCTAACTTTGGAAAGTACAATCACATGATCAACAAGTAAATGTTTTTTGTCTTCGAGACAGGGAGGTAGATGTGGTAGGTGTGTTCAGGTACAAGAACACATGGCCTTTGTGTCTTGAGTTCCTGACAAGTGGTAAGATTGATGTAAAGCCACTTATAACCCACAGATTCGGTTTCTCTCAGAAGGAAGTGGAAGATGCCTTTGAAACCAGTGCTCGTGGGAGCAATGCCATCAAAGTTATGTTCAATCTGTGAAAAAAATCTTCGCTTTTCTAAGAACATTTCAAGGTTTCATAATAAGGATGTTTCTGTAACTTTGTTATCCACTGTATATCAACTCTGAATTTCTCTTGAATAAATAATCCTTTATGACAAATCGACGATACAATCCAAGCGTTACAAGACAAATGCTGAAATTGGACAAAAAGGGACCTAAATTCTCCCAATTCTGTCTCAAAACTCCTAACATGACACGATCTTGGCCACTGTCCATCTCATTAGACCGTGGCTTCTACTAGGAGGACCTCAACAAGAAAGAAATATCTCAAAACAGACCCATATATAATGGTACAAGAGAATCGTAGAAAACAACTCTTTGACGATAGCATCAAACTTTCTCAAGGCAAAGCCGCGGTTGGTTCAGTGCACCATTTCCATACTTTAACTTGACCAGTTCCGTCACCCGTGAAAAATATTCCCCCGGGACCTATCTGGATCGCCCGTATCTCTTGCTTTGCAAAGATTTTTCCCCTCTCCGTAAATCTAATGATTGAATCTAAGCTATCAGAACCAATAAAAGAAGAAGAATTGAAGAATTCTGAAATAAAAGTTGGAAGACTTAAGACTTACGACGGTAAGTCGTAGAGGCGCAAGGTGTTGTCATTGCAAGAGCATAGCAAAACCGGCTTGGCTTCTGCATCATGTACACCACATAGAGCTAGCACTCCCTGAATCCAATTTCGAAATTGCCAAAATTTATTAGTTACATTACATATAGATTAGGACCATAAGAGAAGAATAACAATTTATAAATGAAACAATACATGTTCTTCTTTGTGAGTGTATGTCGCTTCCAAATTGCCACCTTCAACTGCAGCCCATATCTACAGCGGAAAAAACATGTTAACAAGGGAAAGAATGAAACTTCCAAGAAAGTTATCGAAATTAACGAACTAACCTTGACCGTGTTGTCCAATGAACAAGACAAAAGAAACTGATCCCAGCAAATGAGAGACATCACAACTGATGTATGATCCGTGAGTGTTTGTATACACTGCAGATTATCCAGGCTCCAAACCTATTTAAACAAAAAAAATATAAACCAAAAAGATTAGCTCAAAGAAAAAGAGTACTGGGAGTTTTAATTCAAGAATGATAGATAATACAAGTACTTACTTTTATAGTTTTGTCCATGGAACCCGAATAAAGTCTGTTTGCCCCAACATATAAGGTAACAACTGCAAGTGTATGGCCCGTCAGTGATGCCGCCGGTTCAAAACAGTTAGTGGCAGCATTATATCTCCATGCCAAAATAGAACCATCCTGCAGAGATAGTAAAGAACTTGTCACTTACTTTACCAAAAGCCGACATATTTCGCAGAGATCTCAGCAAGAAAATAAAAACTCAGAATTTTACCTGTGTACCAGCGAAGAGCAGATCAGTACCCACAACGAGAGAGTATACTTGTCCAACAGGTCCATTTAGACTCTGGTCTGCATTGGTTTCAATATTCCACGCCTGTATCAACAACAATGAGATATAACCCAACAAGCATCTAAGAATGAAAGAGGTTCCTCGATATCTATTGTGACAGTCGAAGAAAAGTACTGCTAAGAGGAATCATACTGAGAACTTGCCTTGACAAGATTTGGCATGCCAACCAATAGCCATGGGCCTTCACTAAGCACACAGCCAACTTCCCCACCAAGTTTGAGTACTCCTGTACACTAATCAAAAGAGAAAAGAACAATATCCACGATAAGTAAACTCCTTTCCTAATTTAACAACTTAGACACCAATTGCCATCGATATATCAGTGCTCACTACTCTACTTGTGACAAATTGCATTCTCTTGAGTCACTCTACAATCTACATCTTAACCAATCAGTTATAACTTATAACTAGTTTGACGACATGGTTTTCTAGCTAGAGAGGAGAACAATAACATCCATGGACAACAGTTGCATTCTCTAAAGCCACTCTACATCCTAACCAAACAATTCTATCATTGAGCAAGACAAAAAAACAAAAGGGTACATTGAACAAGATAGAATCGAATCAAAGACCTGTCCAGAAGCACAATCCCAAACACGCAAGGTCTCATCTTTACTTCCAGTGTAAAGCTTATCAGAACCAGAAGGCAAAGCAATACCACTAACAAGCTTCTCATGACCATCAAGCTGAGTCAACAACGAAAAGCTCTCTCCTTTACTCCAACAATGCAAGTATCTACACTTATCACCGTAAGTGCAATTCCCATCTACCCAAAAGTTGCAAACTTTCTCAGTCTTCGTCACCGTTCTGTTCCCACCAAATCTCCCCCAACTACTATTAGAGTTCCCGTTAAACCCAGGTCCTCTCCGGTGACTCGGACCCGCAAAGCCAGATTCTTCAGCGACCCTTTTGTTCGTGTAACCCGGACCTTGACCCTGACCCGGACCAGGACCCGGTAATTCTCGATGTAGATAAGGGCAAGGTGAACGATTACAACGCCCAGCTCGCCAGTGGAAACAAACTTTTTGCCTTGTATCAGTTGGTGCCATCGGACGAGTTGACCCGCCGCCGCCACCGCCGCCGAGTCTGTTGAAGACTCGTTTGTTTCCTCCGTTCAAATCAAAATCCATAGCTTTTTTTTATTGCCTCACTCTCTCTTTCTCTAGATTACAACAACAACGGACACAAATTAACACAAAGTAAGGATTTTTTTCGATCGGTGGTTTCAAAATCCGATCATGGATAGATAAATCAAGCGGCAAAATTGGAGGAAACCCTAGAAAATTTTAATTACCAAAAACAATCTCTCAAAAGTAGTAATCAAAATATGGGAAAAATTTGGGTTGTTGTGAATGTGGTGAAGTAATAATAATGAAGAGAAAAACTTTGAAGTGGATTTTTTTTTTTTTTGGTGTTTATAAGCTTTGGATCTTGGTGGAGAGGACAGAAGTAGAAGAGAGAAAGAGGAAGTGAGCAACAGTCGCGTCAGCTTGACGTCAATTGTTTAACTACTGTTTTACCCTTAAGATGGTTCTATTTTACGAAATTACTTTTCTCTCGGTTTAAACCGGTTCTGATTTAGACCGGATCGTAAGTATATACTTTTTATTCCAAAAAAAATATATATAGACTTTTTTTGTCCGTACCTTCAAATTTGAAATGGTGAGCCTTGTTGAACTTGCAAGAGAGTTTTATTTCCAGAATAAAATACTTTTAGCAGGCTAATTAATTTTGGAGAAAATGTTAATTTAATTATCAAAATAATAAATTTATAACAAAAAGGGGTTAATTCGAGAAAGTTCATGGGCGTAAAATCATATTGTTTAGTGCTGTTGCTCTTGAGTTTAAAATATATAAAAACAGTTTTAATCGTCTATAATATTTTATAATATTTCTTTTACTATGTCAATTTTACTTGAGAAAATGTATTAACGGTTAAATTCATTCGCCTTAGAGCATCTCCAAATGAGACCTTATATTTGAGGTTTGCCAAACCTCAAATTTGAGGTTTAGGGTTGTGTGTCTCCAAAGGAAAACCTCAAATTTAACTTCAAAAGAATTTGTAATTTGCATAATAGTCCTTGCTATTGATTATAATTACATAAAATCATAAAACTTTTATAAATAACAATAAAACATACATTAAAAATATTACAAACATTATAAATTAATAAAATATTACATTATAAAATAAAATTACACAAAATAATAATAAAAACACAAACGAAATCTCAAATTAAAACTAAATTACAAAATTATTGAACCTAATTATTTCCGTGATGCTCCCATATATGATCAATCAATGCATTTCGAAGAGGTAGATGAGTTTCTTTATTTTTTATCTGTAGATTACGAGATAAAAATTGTTGAAATCGAGTATTTTCGTTTATTGCCATTTCCACGGTTGCCTCTGGTACTGATCTTGTTTCTCTAATCGGTGCGGTGATATCACGTTATTGTGTAATATTTGTTTTTAATGTTATGTAATATTTTATATTATTTTAAGGTATTTCTTTATTTTTTATATGAAAAAATGAACTTTCTATTTATAAGACATAAAAATTTAAGGACTAATATGATAAAATAATAAATTAGTAAAAGTATTTCTAAGATATAAATAATTATGAGGACCAAAATGCAAATAAAAAAGATGAAACCTCAAATTTGAGGTTTTGAGGTTGCCTTTGGAGAACCAATAACCTTATATTTGAAGATTTGAGGTTGCCTTTGGAGATGCTCTTAAACGTTCAAAATTCTAGGTACGACCATATATTCAATGAAAGGTGCCAAGAAACGGGAAAAGGGGATTTTCATACCCGTACTATCTGCACCGTGGATTTTCATACCTGGATAATTTCGTAGGGTATTTTACAACCTAAACTTCAATAAAATTTGAATCTCATACCTATACTTGATACAACGTGCAAAAGTCGGAGTCAATCTAACGGGTGTTAGTCAACTCCGTTACGGTGCTCAGTCATCGTACACGTGTACGCTGAAGTGTATCAAAACGACGTCGTTTTCATACCCGTACTGTCTGCGCCGTGGATTTTCATACCTGGACAATTTTGTAGGGTATTTTACAACCTAAACTTCAATAAAATTTGAATCTCATACCCTATACTTGATACAACGTGCAAAAACCGGAATCAATCTAACGGCTGTTAGTCAACTCCGTTACAGTGCGTATCGAAACAACGTCGTTTTGATATGTGTTCTCAAAGTTTTAAATTTTTTTGCAAAATTGGGGACTCGAACCCGCGAGCTGTAGTCACATGAGAAGCACCAAATTTTGTAATACATGGGAGCCGTAGTCACTAAACTCTGTTAGAAATTGCAAAATTCGGTGCTTCCCATGTGACTACGGCTCGCGGGTTCGAGTCCCCAGTTTTGTAAAAAGATTTAAAACTTTGAGAACACATATCAAAACGACGTCGTTTCGATACGCACCGTAACAGAGTTGACTAATACTCGTTAAATTTACTCCGATTTTTGCACGTTGTATCAAGTATAGGGTATAAGATTCAAATTTTATTGAAGTTTAGGTTGTAAAATACCCTACAAAATTGTCCAGGTATGAAAATCCACGCCGCAGACAGTACGGGTATGAAAACGACGTCGTTTTGATACACGTCAGCGTACACGTGTACGATGACTCAGCACCATAACGGAGTTGACTAACACCCGTTAGATTGACTCCGATTTTTGCATGTTGTATCAAGTATAGGTATGAGATTCAAATTTTATTGAAGTTTAGGTTGTAAAATACCCTACGAAATTGTCCAGGTATGAAAATCTACGGTGTAGATAGTACGGATATGAAAATCTCCTTTTTCGGCCAAGAAACCCCAAACTTCTCAACTCAAAGAAAATGATATTTGAGGAAAAGAGTTAGTGAGGGCCACTGGGTCAGGGACATGTTTTCTAGTGAAAACATTTCCAAGTGTTCAGTGTTTGTTTAGCGAAAATAGATAGATGATTAGAACTTAGAACAGTGGCTGGGCCTCATGAGAAGATTGAGGCCACAAATAAATATTACCTTTTTTAAGAACCACAATATAGATTTTACTCCTATATTGGTCTAATGGTCAAGGAACTATGTTACTCATTCTCTCCCTCCACGTGTTTGAAGGACTAACGTGAAAGAGATTTTATTGTTTTAAAATCTTTTGCTGAGTCTACAAGCAAATTCAGTATGTCAATGATCAGTCTTATATTTGGAAAAATAGAGGCATAGTTTCAAGCTTTTGTAAGCTTTGGAAATTTGGTAAAGATTACATTAACCAAAACAAAGAGAAATCTATTTACAGTTTTAGATACAACAAACAAAAATTTCAAATTTGATAGCTCTAATTTGATCAAATCTGTTTACCAAAGAAAAACAAAGAACATTCTATCAAGAATAAATAATGATAGATGATTTATTACTAAAAATTTGGTACCAAACAAAAAAAATCAGGTACGGAACTATGGACCAATCCTAGATGTCCAAATAATCCCTAACTAACTTATTATCCAAAAGAAACCCAACAAAATTAGTCGTCAAAACTCCAGAGTGACACGTCAGCATCTCCGTCAAATTCGTTATGATTCCAGCCAACTTCCGGCGGCGGCAAAAGCATCCCCTCCGCCATATTCTCAAAAAAGTTCGGCATCCCCAAAAGCGCCTCTTCATCCATATAAAACACACTTCTCTGCTCCTCCACCCTCATCTCCCTCTCCCTCTCCCCCGCTGCCTCGGCCTCCACCGTTGTTTTAGATCCCTCCGTCGCAGTCTCATTCTGAAATGCCATTGCAGCTTCAGCCGCCGCTTTCTGAATCTCCTTAGGACAAGTAGTCTCAGGAATACGAAGCCGCCACGCAGAATCAGCGAAATTGAGACAAGCAGAGCGACCACGGAGAGCTAAAGCAGCAACATCATGAGCACGAGCAGCCATTTCAACCGTCGGAAAAGTACCTAACCAAATCCTAGATTTCTTATTCGGTTCCCTCACTTCACAAACCCATTTACCAGAATTCCTCTGACGAACTCCTCTGTAAATCGGATGACGTGTCTCACGAAACTTCTTCCTCCCAGCTCGTTTCTTAGGACAACTCGAAGCTAACTTCGGTGAACACTCACTACTGTCTGAAACCGGAGATCTATGGTCGGAGATTGAGAGAAACGAGTCCGAGAATGCAGAGTAAAAAGGATTCATTTTTTCTGGATAAGATGTTTAATTTCTCTTTCTATCTTTTTGTTTTCAGGTGTTGGAACTTTTTCGAGATATTTTTTTATTACAGAAAGCGAAGAAGTGTTGTGTTTTAAGATGGAAAAAAAGTGGAACACGGAGGATCTGGTAATGACAACTGTCCCACGGTATATGACTTACACGTGTCCTTCTGAATCACTTTACTTAGTCTAAGTGTATTGTGTACTGTGTCTGATTTGGATTCGATGGTTCAGTTAGATATTTAATATTTTATTGAATTTAAGTATGATGTTCGGAGAAAGGGGACGATTTAGAAAAAGACAAAACAGGCTTCAGTTTTAAAGTGAAAATGATACGTTGAGGATGACGTCATGAGAACACGGTTTTGACAGTTGGAGTGTAAACTGCTCTCTGTGGTTCGAGAGGTGAGCCACGTTTGAAGGGACGGGTGCGTGCGCTGTCTAGCACACGGTTTGGGATTTTGTTTTTGTAATATGACCCACGCGCTTTTACTTTTTTTTTTTTTGTGTGGGGCCTTTTTATTCTATTATTTTTGGAAATCTTTTGGATTGTTTTATTTTTGGAAATCCTTTGATTATTCTATGGACTTCCTCTTCTAACTATTTATCATCAACTAAGCCAAATTTTTGGATACGTGGCCAAGGCTGATTGTATATGTTTTCATTATGTACCCAAAATACGTTTAACTAGTAGTCTAAAGACAACTCAGTTTGCTTTGGTTGGACGTTGGGGGTTTTCTTTTTTCTTTTTTTGGGGTCAAAATTGGAGTTTTTGGTTTGTTTAAACAACAACAAAAATAGTTGTCTTCACTCGATTCGTTTTTTTTTTAATAAACCATTTCGACTAATTTTATAAATGAATATATATATATATATATATATATATATATATATATATATATATATATATATATCTAGTTAATTTCAATTAGTAATACAAAAAAATGGAATTTTTACAAAAAAAAAACTATATATTTCTAGTATATTTCTGGTTCGTCGAATTTTTATTTGATTTTATAAAATCAGCCAGGCCAAGGATATTTCAAGAATTTGAGCAACTTTTTTTACTAAACCTTTCAACTAAAAATAAACACAAAATCAGTTAGACGACGAGCTTAACACAGAAAACTTAAAAAAAAAAAACAATGTAGTAGACTCCATGAACAATGGAGCCAAAGCTTTTATATCAACTCTGTACACTCAATACAAGACCAAGTAAAGTTCTGAGGAAACAAAGGTGCAAGCTTTTGGTTCCACGTCAGAGGTTTTTTTAACCCTAATAAATGATTGTGTACATGGGATCTTCCATAAGGCACTGGAACTTGGCTCTCTCACTGTCTCACAACTCAAAAGTCCATATCATCATCACCTTGGAGGTTGTTGTTCTCATCATCCTCTTCACGCCAATATGTCTTCAGAATCTTAAAAGCCTTCTCGTAGATCTCATCGTTTTCGTGTCTTTGCAGCTTCATAATCTTTTCCAGTCCTTCCGCATCTTCAATCAGTTCACAATAACGGTTCACGTCTTCTCTGTTCTTTTCAACCTCTCCGGCCTTTAAAATGTTTTCCAATCCATCCAGACACTTTAAGATTGTTCTTAGATCTTGACATACTAGAATATCACATAAAGGTTTTATGCAACTCTGCTTCACCATGTATCTGAATCACACAAATGGAGAATTGTGACTTGATGATATATAATAAGTATGTTAAAGTGAAAAAAAAAGAAAAAAGACAGGGAAGTACTTGATTTGATCATGTGAACCATCTAAGGTCACATTTAAAATTGCCCATACAGCTTCTTTCTTCAAGTAGAAATCAGCATTTTGAGCAAGATTGACCAAGGTTGGAATCAAATTTGCATCAATAACTGACTGTAATCACCAGGGGAAAAGAAAAAACAATCAGTGATAGCTAAAGACATAGGGTAAATTTTGTTTGTGATATAGCAAACAACAAAAGTTGCTCACATGAATTTGTTCTGTAGTGCCTGCAGTGATGTTTGAAATCACCCAGCAAGCAAGCTTCTTTATGTTGTTATCGTAGTTTCCCGTAAGCAGGTTTGAAATAATAGGTAAAGCACCACAATTGATCACACACTGAAGAATAAGTTCAAAGAGGAACATTCAGAGCCTAAGCAGAGATGTAAAACAAAGCATTTGTTGTTTGGTTACAAAATCTAATCGCAACATATAACGAAGCAAGCACTGGATCACTAATATCGGTATAGTGATATAAACATTCAAGAGACATTGTGAACTATGAATTACATACCTGGGTCTGGTGGTTAGTTCCAGCAACTATAGTCCCAATGGTACGAAGTGCAGGAACAAGTACCACTGGAGAAGAGACTCTGCAATCGTAAAAATTGTCAGCCTTCATAATCCAAACATGTCACAAAGGGGTTAAATATATATTCTGAGAAGTACTAACTGGAGAATTTGAACTAGTTTTGGGACAAAACCAGCCTCAATCACACTTTGGATTCCATCTTCTGAACCATCAGAGAGATAACATAGTGCCAAGCAAGCATGTTTCAAGACTTCGTCATCATTTGAATGAAGAAGTATTTCAAGTGCTGGGAGAGCAGGTTTCACCTGTTGAATCATGCTTCATATGTTAAAAAGTATACAAACAGAGGAAAAAGAGACAGAGAGAGAAGGAAGAAGACCTGGTTGAAAGCCGGCGCAGGCTTGCCATGACACAAGTTACACAAAGTCCAAGTAGCAATTCTGACCGTAGTATCCTTGTACAGAAGTCGCAACAGTGGCATCAATACCCCAGACAGAAGAACCAAGTCACGGTAAAATATCGAATCACCAGCAACATTACTCAGTGCCCATATAGCCTGCAAGAATAATTTCAAAAGTCATATCTGTGACCAGCATTCTCATATCTACACAAAGTAAAATACTTTACCTGCTCACAAACATAATCTTTAGGAGAAGCAAGAAGCTCGATTAATCTTGGAACAGCGCCGTTATTAACTACCACGTTCGGATTATCAGCAGCAATGTTTGTTAGAGCCCAAGCTGCCTCATACTAGAAAAAAAGATCACTGAATATATCGGAATCAAAGATTACACTGATCATCATCATAGAAATATCAACTAACTTGAAGCTTAGGGAAATCTTCCTTCTCAAGCAACTGAACGAGACGCGGTACAACTCCAGATCGTATCACAATTCCAGAAGAACAAGTTATATCTCCTGGACAGATGATCCTTCATTAGGGTAAATGATAAAAGACGAATCTTTCAAGAAAAGTAAAGAAAGTAAAAACAGAGGAAGTTTTTACTCTGTGATAGAATACTTCTGATCTTCGTAGCGGATTCAAGCTGTAATGAAGGATCATCTGACCAAACACCATAGATCAAATCTTTTGAATCTTCGTCCACCTATATTCGAAACCCTAAAACCTCACTATTCCAACACAAAATCAACCAGAGAGTGATTACTTGTGAGATGGTTTTAAACGGACCTCTTGTTTCAGCGACATGGCTTTGTTTCTCTCTTCTTCGACCTCTCCAAAGCAATTTACAAACTTGAAGATAAAACCTAGAAACCTCAGCTGAAAATGTGAAATACGCAAAGATTTTTGGAGTTGAGAAAGAATGCAAACAAGAATAATCAAGGAGCGAAAAAACATATGAATATAATTTATAGTCGTTATTCATTAACCGTCTAAACTAAACCGATCTTCATTTCAATTTTAACCCGGTTTACTCCAACCCAAATTTCAGTTTGTTAGGCGCAGAGCCATCATTTTAACAGAAGGAGATCGATCATTCATTACCTTCTCAGTGTGATCTAGCATTCTCTGCTTCCGAATTTCTAGTTTCTGGATCGTCAATCGAAGTTTGGCGCCGTTATTGGAAAACAAAGATTCACGAGTATTTGATCGTAGCAGTTCGATTAAATCTCTTAAGAATTTTACTTTTCTTCTTTAGTGTGTGAAATGGGGGATTTAAGAAAGTTTGAATGGTTCTACTTTTGATTTCAGTTACATCAACCAGAGCTCCTTTGAACTCTATCCGTAAAATGATTAACACTTAGAAATGCAACTCAATCGCCATAAATCAGAAAAGCTCATCGTCACTATCATCATCACTATCACTCAATGCAAAGTCTCCTTCATCCTCTACCCATTCATCTTCCGAAAACGCCGATACATTAAACCTCCCAAACCCATCACTCTCCACCGTCATCTCCGCCCTCTCAACCTCATCATAAGACAAAGAAAACAACGCATCTCCACCGCTAAATCCCACCTCACTCTCCTCATCCTCCTCAAACCGCGGTCTCTTCCCCGGAATCAAATCCATCTCCCCAATCTCTCCCTTCTCAACTCCACTCCAAGGCACCCACAAATCAGCATGCCGTCCCAACGCTCTATCCCTATCACTAACCACCAAAGTCCCAAGATCAGCCTCCCTAGCTTTCCTCAACATATCCGAAAAATCCTTATCATCCGATACCAAAACCAACCAATCAATCCCCCTCGTCATCGAATGTTGTATCTGTCTCTTAACCGCCCAATCTGCCGCCTGAGGCTTATCCTCCACCGTCTTCACATAAACACCCGCTCGCCGAAGCTCCGCCTCTAAACCATATCCAACTTTAGGAGTCAACAACCTCCTCGCCGCCTCATTATACTTCTCATTCCCTGAAACAAAACGTTCTTTAAACTTCTGACGTTTCTTACCTTTCAAAGATCTCATCCTATTCACTTTCTTCTGTCTCTCCCTCTCATGAAGTTGCTTGAAATGTTTCTTCAAATCAAGATTGGTTTTACACTTCCGACCACAAACACCACAAATGTACGGATCAATTGGAGTCACTTCTCCTTTCCTCTCCATGAAATCAAGATTCCTCCTTTCTCGTCTCTCTTCGACGACCCAATGAGGTAAATGGATAAAAGCATGACGATTTGCGTAAGCGGAGATTTCAACGACTCGCCCGAGTTTCTCCGCCACTTTACGGAGAGCTGTTGCTGCTTCGTACGGTGGACCACGTGGTGGTTTGTTGTCTAAGTCCCACAAGACTACAACTTTCTTCTCCTTTGGTGCAAAGATACCTTCTTTGTTTCTTACCATATCGATTTCAGACGAAGATGCTGATTTAAGACATGATTTGATCCGCCATGGATGACGAAGTGGTAAGCTTGTGAATTTAGGGTTTTGGAATTTGGAATTGGAGAAGGTAAAGAAGTGAGATTTTTGTGAAAGGAAGGGTTTTGGATAAAGGGTTTCAATTGAATTACAGAACAAACTCATTGGAAGCTAACGATTGCTGTTTTGGGAGTTATGAGAATTGTCAGTGAAATTGGCGTAGGTGATTGGTGGCTTTCGAAGAGATTCGTTGGATTTTGTGGACGTGAATCAGAGATTGTCTCTCTGGGTAGGTTTGGGTGTGGATTGTTATCTATCATGTCCGGCGAAGAAGACGACGGCAATGTGGATATTCTGGCTAACAAAAGTTTTATCCTTTTGATTTGTTGTTTGAGAGCCTCTAGTGCAGTTGGAGGGTCTTGAAGAGAGTCTTTACCTTCTTCTTTTTTTTTTCGGACGAGGGATGTTAATTTTAAAAAATCGTTAGGCGCTAGTCGGGCGGTGAGGGTGGCCTAGCGCCTAGCAAGATAATCGGAGATTAAATGGGGATTAATCGGGGACTAGTTTTAAGGCTATTTAATATTTTAAAAACATATTAATCTATTATAAATAAGAAATTTATATAATTTTGTTTTTAAAATTGCATTAAACACATGAAAACAAGAATTTAAGGTCAAACTTATGATTTTTATATAAATTATGAACATAAATGGGATATTTTAAATTTTAGATCAAAAAAAAGAAAAAAAAAAATTTAGGTTAGGCGCCGTCTAGGCGGGTTAGGCGGACGCCTAGGCGGACAAAAATCGGATCACCGATTTTTTTTACCGATTTGGACAAAATCACCGCGGTTCCCACCCGATCAGCGCCTAAGCGACCGGCTAAGCGGCCGATTTTTAGAACAGGGAGTATAACAAATGAATCTGATCACTGATGCAGACACCCTCTTCGGTTTTAAATGGCCAATAGTACTAAAAATCTTCGAAGGGAATTTAGATATTATATTAAAATTGTGTTTATATCCCTTTTAATGTCTTATAGTCAAGTTTGTATATTTTTTCAGGTCGCGTTAACAGAACAAAATAAAACCAGAGATATATTTCTCAAATATGTAAAATACAGTAGTATGATGCCATTTTAGTCAACATACCATTTTATACAAATATCGTTAAGATACATGATGAATGGTATACTATTCGAAAGATTCATTACTTTCTCACGTTTTCATGTATTGAAAAAACAATTCCACTATATACTACTTGCATGTTAAAAATATATCTAGAAAAGACTAACACGATTAATATTAGAGTACGGTTTAGTAAAATCATTATCTGGTATTGTATAGACCGGAGTAAACCGGATCTTAGCTTCAATATAAAGAAGCTCTGTAAACAGTCCAGATTCATTAATGAGAATAACGAATTTTCTTCTTCTTCTTCGTAACAAACTCTGTTCTCATTCTTCTCTAACATGGTATCAGAGCGATGAATCTTGAAAATTCATCCGATTCTTTGACCTAAACTCTTCTTTTCTTTGTTTCTCGATCAATTTCTTCGGTTCATTCACCGGGAAATTGTTGTATCGATCAAAATTTCTTTATCCTCGCCGTGAAATCTTCTTTTCTCGATGGCACCTGTTCGGAAAATCAATCGTCGCACGATCCGCGTCCCAATTTCAGCTCGCAGATCGACTAATCGTGAAGATTCTTCTCCCGAAGGTTCACCGGAAAATCGGAATCGAAGCAGTACACCGGTGATTGTTTCTCATGATAGTATTCATTCTCCATATTATCTCACGAATAGTGATAATCCTGGTATTTCTATTGTCTCTGAAGTCTTTGATGGAACGAATTATGATGATTGGCAAATTGCTATTAAGATAGCTCTCGATGCGAAGAATAAACTTGCTTTTATTGATGGATCTGTTCCGCGACCTCTTGAATCTGATGCTATGTTCAGGATTTGGTCACGTTGTAACAGCATGGTGAAATCTTGGTTGTTGAATTCAGTGTCGAAGCAGATTTACAAAAGCATACTTCGTTTCAATGATGCTTCAGAGATATGGAATGATCTTTTAACTCGATATCACATCACTAATCTACCAAGATCATATCATTTATCTCAACAGATTTGGTCACTTCAACAAGGTACTATGGATCTTGCAACGTATTACACCACTTTACGGACTCTCTGGAATGAATTAGATAGTGCTGATTGTGTGACACTGTGTAAAAGATGCGACTGTTGTAAAGCTATGGAACAAAGAGGAGAGCATGCTCGTGTTATCAAGTTTTTGGCTGGGCTCAATGAGTCTTATGCTGTCATTCGAAGTCAGATTATAATGAAGAAGCATGTTCCTTCCTTAGCAGAGATTTACAATTTGTTGGATCACAGTCAACGAAGCTTCACACCAGTTCCTTCTAATGCAGTTGCTTTTAATGTCTCTGCACCAGAACCAGTTCAAGCTTCTATCAATGCCACTTACAATGTCAAACCACAGAAGGTAATCTGTTCTCATTGTGGTTATACAGGGCACACAGTTGATAAGTGTTACAAGATTCATGGGTATCCAATGGGTTTTAAGCACAAATTCAAGAATCAAGCAGATAAAAGTTCTTCCACTGACAAATCTGCAGTTCCTATTAAACCAGTGGTAGCTCAGTTAGCAATGACAGACGTCTCAGTTACTGCAAATGATTTGATTACTGGTCTTACAAGAGTTCTCACTAAGGATCAGATAAATGGTGTGGTTGCTTACTTTAATTCTCAGCTTCAGACTGCACCGTCAACTGCTTCTACTTCTGGTGCTACTATTACAGCTCTACCTGGTATGGCTTTCTCTTCTTCCACTATTGGTTTTGTTGGAGTTTTGAGAGCTACATGTACTGTTTTATCATCGGAATCTTGGATCATCGATAGTGGAGCAACGCATCATGTTTGTCATGATAAAACATTATTTCTGAGTTTATCAGAAACTCTAAATAATTCAGTAACATTACCTACTGGTTTTGGGGTTAAAATCACTGGTATTGGCACAGTTAAGCTGAATGAGTTTCTTATACTGAGTAATGTTCTTTATATTCCTGATTTTAGGCTGAATCTTCTAAGTATCAGTCAGTTAACAAAGGACTTGGGATATAGAGTGACATTTGATGAAGATTCTTGCATGATACAGGATCCTATCAAGGGGCTGATGATTGGTAAAGGAGAGCAGATTTCCAATCTATATGTCTTGGATGTTCAGAGTATCGTTGATTCTACTAAGCAGATTACTTTTTCTACAAACATTGTTGTTGATTCTAGTCTATGGCATAGCCGATTAGGTCATCCATCTATAGCAAAGTCTGATATTGTTACAGATGTACTTGGTTTTAAACAAAGGAATAAAAGATCTTTTCATTGCACAATTTGTCCTCTTGCAAAGCAAAAGCATCTTCCATTTAAATCCAAGAACAATGTTTGTGATTCTGCTTTTGATCTTGTTCACATTGATGTCTGGGGTCCGTTTGCGGTACCAACAACAGATGGGTATCGATACTTCTTAACCATCGTGGATGATCATACTCGAGTTACTTGGTTGTATCTTCTACGGAATAAGAGTGAAGTGTTGACAGTTTTCCCAGATTTTCTGAATATGATTGAGACTCAGTATAAGAGTAAAGTGAAAGGTGTTAGATCAGATAATGCGCCAGAATTGAAGTTTGTGGAGTTGTTTAAAGCTAAAGGTATCATTCACTATTTCTCATGTCCAGAAACACCAGAGCAAAACTCAGTGGTGGAGCGAAAACATCAGCATATTTTGAATGTCGCCAGATCGCTTATGTTTCAGTCTCATGTACCGCTTGAATACTGGGGAGAGTGTGTTTTGACAGCAGTCTTTCTTATCAATCGATTGCCTATGCCTCTTCTTCAAGATAAGTCTCCATTTGAAGTTCTTAATTCTAAGGTGCCTGATTATGGTGGATTTCGTGTTTTTGGGTGTTTATGTTACAGCTCTACATCCTCCAAGAACAGAAATAAATTTCAACCAAGAGCAAAAGCCTGTGTGTTTCTTGGATATCCACCAGGAGTCAAAGGATATAGACTTCTAGACTTGGAGACAAACAACATTCATGTGTCTAGGAACGTAGTATTCCATGAAGACATTTTTCCCTTTGATAAAGTCCCCATTATTCCCACAGTCGTGACTGATCAAGAAAACAGTATCTCTTCTGCTGAAACAGCTGTTCCCATTGAATCATCTACTCGCAGAGTGAGTAAAACACCGGAATACTTGAACGACTATTATTGCAACATGTCTTCTTCTGGAGTTCAGTATCCATTATCAGATTATTTGAACTATGATGGTCTGTCCACTCCTTATCGAGCATATATCTGTTCTGTTACCAAACATGCTGAACCGACTTCTTTTGCTCAAGCTAAAAAGTCTGATGATTGGTTAAAGGCCATGAATGCCGAATTGCAGGCTCTGGAAGGTACAGCAACATGGAAGATTTGTTCCTTACCCTCGGGAAAGCATGCCATTGGTTGTAGATGGGTCTATAAGGTGAAGTTGAATGCTGATGGAAGTCTTGAACGTTATAAGGCTCGGTTGGTAGCCAAGGGTTATACCCAACAAGAAGGCATTGACTTTGTTGACACTTTTTCGCCTGTCGCTAAAATGACAACAGTTAAAACTCTGTTGGCAGTTGCAGCAGCTAAGAAGTGGAGTTTGCATCAATTAGACATTTCAAACGCCTTTTTAAATGGCGATTTAGAGGAGGAGATTTACATGACACTTCCACCTGGTTATACATCTAAGGAGGGAGAGTCTTTACCACCTAATGCAGTTTGTAAATTGCAAAAGTCTCTCTATGGCTTAAAGCAGGCCTCAAGACAGTGGTTTCTTAAGTTCAGTACCACACTAATGTCTCTTGGCTTTCAAAAATCACAGGCGGATCATACTCTCTTTGTGAGAAACTTGAATGGAAAGTATGTTGCAGTTCTTGTGTATGTAGATGACATTATTATTACAAGTAATGATGATGATGAGGTTCTACAGTTAAAAGAAGATCTGCAGAAAGCTTTTAAACTTAGAGATCTAGGCTCTCTTCAATATTTTATGGGTTTGGAGATTGCTCGTAACTCTTCGGGTATTTCCATTTGCCAACGTAAATACGCTTTGGGATTGCTTGAGGAAACAGGTCTCCTAGCCTGTAAACCATCCAGTATACCAATGGAGCCTAGTCTCAAGTTGGTTTCAGATGGAGATGAACCACTACTAGCAGATCCTGCAGCATATCGAAGATTAGTGGGAAAAATGATGTATCTGACAATTACGAGACCCGATATTACTTATGCTGTTAACAAGCTTTGTCAGTTCACTTCAGCTCCAAAAGAGTCCCATATGAAGGCTGCTCACAAAGTTCTGCATTATGTAAAAGGCACGGTTGGTGATGGACTGTTTTATTCTGCGGATTGTGATCTAGTGTTGCAGGCTTTCACTGATGCAGATTGGGCGTCATGCCTTGATTCTAGGAGATCTACTTCAGGATTCTGTATGTTCTTGGGTAAATCTCTCATCTCTTGGAAGTCCAAGAAACAGCAAACAGCATCTCATTCCTCTGCAGAATCTGAATATCGTGCAATGGAGTTTGCTGTTCGAGAAGTTGCTTGGCTTGTTAATCTTCTCAGAGAATTTCAAGCTCCTCAGGTAAAATCAGTAGCTTTCTTTTGTGATTCAACAGCTGCTATTCACATTGCCAATAATGCGGTTTTCCACGAACGCACAAAGCATGTTGAATTAGATTGTCACATTGTACGTGATAAAGTTGTCAGCGGTTTGATCAAGACGTTACATGTGAAGACTGATGAGCAGATAGCCGATGTCTTCACTAAACCGTTGTTTCCGACTCACTTTAGGTCTCTTGTGGGCAAGATGGCTCTTAAGTCTATATACTTGCCATCTTGAGGGAGGCTATTAGAGTACGGTTTAGTAAAATCATTATCTGGTATTGTATAGACCGGAGTAAACCGGATCTTAGCTTCAATATAAAGAAGCTCTGTAAACAGTCCAGATTCATTAATGAGAATAACGAATTTTCTTCTTCTTCTTCGTAACAAACTCTGTTCTCATTCTTCTCTAACAATTAATCTACTTAAGTTATCTTGTCAACGTTTTATAATTATCCTACGAAAATTTATCCATTTCAGTTCGTTCGTTATCAGTTATTCTGTTATTTATCTGGCATTACCAATACTCAAACTCAAAGTAATACTAAGTATTATTGTAATAGACAAGAATCAAGTTTTGGTCAATATACGATATATACCATTTGATACAATTATCATCACTAAAATCTACTATAGTTGGTAATGGTTATTCTTATCATAATTTACAAATAAAGAAACAGAATCAGAGGGATTTAACTAGAGGATTTTTTCCTTGCACGGTTTAGGCATGACCCAACTATTTATACATAAAAAATTGAAAACCTTTAAATCGTTTTGTAAGAAAAAGATGGCGAAACGAGCAGATTTTTTTTGTCTCCTTGTCTTGTTTTTCAGTTCAGTCTCAGCAATCATAGATGATCCTCAAAATAAACAAGTGAGTTCTCATAAGATTATCGAGTATATATATTAATCTCTATATAATAATTATCAATATATATTGCTTCTCTACATGAAGGTGTATGTTGTCTACATGGGCTCACTTCCGTCTCAACTAGAATACACACCAATGTCGCATCATATGAGTATTCTTCAAGAAGTCACCGGAGAAAGGTGTGATTTAATTTATTCATTCTCTAACCATTGCTTAGTTATAATAATCATTGAGTGATATATATGTATGCACACTCTAGTTCGGTGGAAGGTCGTTTAGTGAGAAGTTACAAGAGGAGTTTCAACGGTTTCGCGGCCCGACTCACTGAGTCAGAACGAGAAAGAGTAGCTGGTTAGTGTTCTTTGATCGAAACACATTCTAAGATGAAGTGTTTTTAAATATTTGAAACCTTTTTTGTGTTGTTAATTAGAAATGGAGGGAGTTGTGTCTGTGTTTCCGAACATGAACTACAAACTCCAAACGACGGCGTCTTGGGATTTCTTGGGGTTGAAGGAAGGAAAGAATACAAAGCGTAACTTAGCCGTAGAGAGTGATATTATCATCGGCGTCTTCGACACTGGGATTTGGCCGGAATCCCAGAGCTTTTCCGAAAAAGGCTTTGGTCCTCCTCCTAAGAAATGGAAAGGTGTTTGTTCCGGCGGCAAAAACTTCACTTGTAACAAGTAAGTCTTTAAAATTTAATTTCTCTAATAGAAGATTAGTATTGTTTTAGGCAGAGATTGATGTGTTGACAATGTTTCAGCAAGTTGATCGGAGCAAGAGACTACACAAGCGAAGGTGCTAGGGACCTTCAAGGGCACGGTACTCACACAGCGTCCACAGCAGCTGGAAACGCAGTTGAGAACACAAGTTTCTTTGGAATCGGTAATGGAACGGCTAGAGGCGGCGTTCCAGCCTCTAGAATCGCAGCTTACAAAGTCTGCTCAGAGACAGATTGTACCGCGGCATCTCTACTGTCTGCCTTCGATGATGCGATAGCAGACGGTGTAGACCTCATCAGCATCTCTCTCTCGGGAAACTATCCCCAAAAGTACGAAAAGGACCCGATGGCGATTGGGGCTTTTCACGCTAATGTCAAAGGGATCCTTACTGTGAACTCAGCCGGTAATTCCGGTCCGGTTCCGGCCAGCATCGAGAGCGTAGCACCGTGGATTTTATCAGTTGCAGCCAGCACCACGAACCGTGGGTTTTTCACCAAAGTTGTTTTGGGAAACGGCAAGACACTTGTCGTAAGTATTCACTCTTATTTCTTGTCATCATTGTTGATCTGTCCCGTTAAATATCCTTTTGTCTTGACAGGGGAGATCAGTGAATTCTTTTGATCTTAAAGGAAAGAAGTATCCTCTTGTCTACGGAGACGTTTTCAACGAATCTCTTGTGCAAGGTAAGATCGTGGTTTCCAGATTTACTACTTCAGAAGTAGCTGTTGCATCCATACGTAGAGACGGCTACGAACACTTTGCCTCCATTAGCTCCAAGCCCTTCTCTGTTCTACCACCAGACGACTTTGACTCTCTCGTCTCTTACATTAACTCCACAAGGTAGCTAACGGTCTTCTCGCTAATATCTCTAGATTCTCCTTCTTTGTCCTGATACCTCTGTGTTTGTTTTCTCAGGTCCCCGCAAGGGTCTGTTCTTAAAACTGAGGCATTCTTTAATCAGACAGCTCCTACAGTTGCTTCCTTCTCTTCTCGCGGTCCAAACATCATCGCTGTTGATCTTCTTAAGGTATAATATTTTTTATGCTCTTGATTCTTTTTTTTTATTATTTCCTGGTTCTAAGAGACATTGGTTGGTGGCTGGATTGCAGCCAGATGTATCAGCACCAGGAGTGGAGATTCTCGCTGCGTATATACCTTTGATTTCACCATCTGAAGAAGAGAGCGATAAAAGACGTGTAAAGTACTCTGTTCTGTCAGGAACTTCTATGGCTTGTCCACACGTTGCAGGCGTGGCTGCGTACATCAAGACTTTTCATCCTGAATGGTCTCCTTCCGTGATCAAATCTGCCATCATGACAACCGGTAATCCGCTAGTAACCTCTGTTTGCAAAACTCATATTCTTATATTTGTTTTTGAATATAATGTTAAATTTGATTCAAAAGAAAAATAAGCGTTTTTACAACTAGTGCAACTTTTGGTTGATTTATGCTAATCTCTTATGAAGTCTCTTTATAAATCTTTTGCAGCTTGGCCAATGAATGATAATACAACTGGCTTCGAATCAACCGATGTCCTTGCATCAACCGAGTTTGCTTCTGGAGCTGGACATGTCGACCCAATAGCCGCTATAAATCCTGGACTTGTCTATGAACTGGACAAATCAGACCACATCGCCTTTCTTTGCGGTTTGAACTACACTTCGAAAACCCTTCAGCTCATCGCCGGTGAAGCCGTCACTTGCAGTGGAAAGACCTTACCAAGAAACCTCAACTATCCTTCAATGTCAGCTAAACTTTATGACTCTAATAGCTCATTCACCGTGACTTTCAAAAGAACCGTCACCAACCTCGGTACCCCCAACTCTACATACAAATCAAAGATCATCTTAAATCGCGGAGCTAAGCTCAGTGTCAAGGTCACACCTAGTGTTCTTTCTTTTAAAAGGGTGAACGAGAAACAGTCTTTCACAGTAACTGTTTCAGGCAACAATCTCAACCGAAAACTACCTTCATCTGCAAATCTAATCTGGTCTGATGGAACACATAACGTGAGAAGTGTCATTGTTGTCTACATTGGTGATTACTCGTGAGGCATTATCAGTTCACCATAGTCATCATTATCATAATATTATCGCCGAATTGCCCATGTGTTTCTTTATTCTACATTTGTGTTTCTTAGTTCACAGTTTCAGATCTTTTCGGGTCAATTGTCCAAACTCTCTTGTGGTGTCACATAATGAATCATTGGACGACCAATAAAAAAAAAGAGCACTTTGCATATGTAAAAATATATATGCTCGCCGAAGCTCCGCCTCTAACCCATATCCAACTTTAGGAGTCAACAACCTCCTCGCCGCTTCATTATACTTCTCATTCCCTGAAACATAATATTAACGATGAGTGAGAAACAAATTACTTTTCTCATTAAACTCTAAATGTGTGATTACATTATATATACATTAGAATAAGCTAAAGGAGACTTATTCTAAACTATACACTATATAATGTTAATACACCCCTTTCAAGCCTTTGAACCGGAAGTCATTGAAGGTAGAAAAGGCTTGATATTGACATCCGACTGAGCAAATATAGTGGAAAGGACCAGGGTGAAGGGGTTTAGTCGGTAGATCTGCCAGTTGGTTTGTTGTAGAGACATGAATGACCTGCAATGAACCATCTTTCACACCATCTCTTGTTTTGTGAAGATCGATTTCTACATGTTTAGTCTTCTAATGAAAGACCGGATTATTTGCAATATGCATTGCAGACTTATTATCACAAAAAGTTTAGCTGGAGATCGAAAAGAGATATGCAGATCCTTCAATATTTTTTTTTTTTTGAATCTAATGTTAAATTATATTCAAAAGAAAAACCAACGTGTATACAAATTAATGCAAACTGTTTTTGAAGACAAAATTAAAAGAAATTTTCCTTCATTGTGCCTTTGATGCAAACCAATCTTGTATGCCACCTGCATACTTGAGCTCTCCTCCACTTCGAATTGTGCTTAATCGATTCCGGATGTTCTTGTCGATTATTTTTATTAACTTCTCACTTGGAGATGGATCCTCACCGTGCCTTCTATAATTGAGTTAACCATACCAACTCATCAGATGTTTGAGGCATTGTTCTGTACTCAGCCTCTGCTACTACTTACCACCTGTTGCTTTTTAGATTTCCAGAAAATCAAAGAAAAACACACATACCTGTGGTAGATCTTCTAGTTCCAATTGTTGTTTGAGAGCCTCTAGTACAGTTGGATGGTCTTGAAGAGAGAGACTTTAGTCTTTACCTTCTTTTTTTCCGACTACTTCACTTTCATTACTCAAGTTGATCCATGGATGTTAATTTTAGTGCTAAGTTGTGTTCTAGTATAACAAATGAAGAACATATTCTACGCAATAGATACAAGGACGCCAAACTGGTTAAAAAGTTTTTAAAGTATCTTCATTCACAAAAGTTGTCATAATGTCGAGTTGGAGAAGTAATTGGTATCATTCAAGCGCATGAGATAAATTTAAACTTTGAAAGTTTAGAGAATCCTAAGAGAGTAGAAGCGAAAGTGGTTAAACAACTACAGGGACGAAACCTGGTTAAAAAGTTTTTAAGGTATCTTCATGCAAATTTTGATAACAAAAAGTTGTCATGAATGTTTTACTTGACATCAGTGCCGATGCAAAGTTTTTTTTTCTTCCAAAACACAGTGTTTAAAAATGTGAGGTCCTAAGCGATGGCTTCACTTGCTTGTCGTCCCGACCGGCCCTGCTTAACACATTTAATGTCTATGTTTGGAGAAATTGGTATCATTCTAGGACATGAAATAAATTTAAACTTTGAAAGTTTAGAAATCCTAAGAGAGTAGATCTAGTAGTATACGGTAAAGAAAATCAGAGAGAAGCCACAGAAACACCGTACAAAGGTTAGAGTGGAAATGGATACAAACCATGATACATGTTTTGTTTCTAGTCAAACATGATATACATGTTCATTCTTCTCTATGTAGTATTCGTTGGATTTTCATATATGATAGATGTGTTGTCTGATGGTTAAGTTCCAAAAAATCTTCTCTTTGAAGTTATTATACCGTAATTTATCTTTCTAACAATTAAGTTTGCCATTGACAAAAGAAAACAAAACAATAGTTACCATACCCTTTTTCCCCATGGGAAGTTGTTGTTTTTTATTTTGGTCGGAAAACTCTTTACCATTAGACTGAGTAATTTAAGATTTTAAGATATATATAAAAATGGATCACTTTCCACAAACAATTTATGTTGCTTCTTGATACTTCCACATATTTGTTCTTAAAAGAAATTTTCTCTAGCTGTCTAGAAGCACCGTATACAGTGACCAAAAAATAAAGCAGAAAAAACAATTCTTATATCTACAATCTGTATCTATTTTTTCCTCGTATAAACCATATTTTATAATAAAAATGATAAAAAAAAACTCAAATTCATAGAGCAATAAATATGCAAAACATTTTCTCAAAAATATTAATAGATCATATAAATAACCTATTTGACTTTCGATAACAGCGACATCCCAAAAAGCAAAAAAAAAAGGAGAAATTAAATCTCATTCGACCGGAAAAAATAAATAATAAAAAAGACAGCTAAATGAATTCATTTATAACTCCAAAGATTATCTCCTTCATGATTCTCCGGCGAATCATCCTCCACCGTCGGAGTTATCATCATTCTCGGTGGACTCATCAACATCCCTTCCGCCATCTCCGTCAACAAAGTCGGCATATTCAACATCGCTTCCTCATCCATAAACTCCAACGAACACGACACTTCTTCTTCTTCTTCCTTTTTCCCGGGTTGACCCGGTTCCAACACCTTCTCATCCCCACCCGGATCCGGTTGCTTCATCTCCGCTGCTCTACTAGCAGCCGCTCTTATATCCGCTGCAGAGTTTGAAACCGGAGCCACGTAAGTCAAAGCTAAACCGGGAAAATTCAAAACGGCGTCGGGTCCTTTTAAAGCTAACGCCGCCACGTCGTAAGCTGCGGCAGCCATCTCCGGTACCGGATAAGTCCCTAGCCAGATTCTTGTCGTTTTACGTGGCTCTCGAATCTCTGACACCCATTTTCCGTTACGTAGTCGAATTCCCCTGAAAACAGAGTGTTTGCCGGATAATCCAGTCGCGGTTCTTCTCGCCGGAGATCCACCGGAAGGTCTTGGTGAAGAAGATGATCCTGGTGAGGTTTGAGGAGATTGATCAGTAGGCAATGTGATTGAGACTTCACGAGACGTCGTCGTTTCTTGATTCACGGTGATCGGAGAATTATTATTATTAGACATAAAGAAGCTTAATGGTTTTGTGTGATGATTAAACTAATGTTACAATGTGTTTTTGTGTTCTGTTTTGTATCAAAGTGTGTTTGTGTATTTATATGATATGATTTTGGATGAGAGATATTTTCAAAACCGTGGCAAATTCGTAAGAAGCTCCGTTTTTATTTTGTTAGAAGATGTGAGCTGTTACACATAAATACGATTAGATTTATATTTGTTTATGATCCTATAAAGAGAAATTGCAATTTTGCTCTAACCTCATTCCTCAGTTGATCGTATTTAATTCTTAAAAATTTTGTTGTCTACTCATTGCTTAAAATGTCAAAACCAAGATTTGTTAATTAAAAGGAGATTTGTGAACCCCATGTAGAGACAGCCACTTACGATGACCAAATCGCAAACTATACACTTAATGATTCGATAGTTACTTACCACTTAGCAGTAATTTATTGTAACAATAGGAAATATTTTAAAAACGGCAGGGTATTATCAAATTCGGTAGAGCGATCTTCTATTGGTTTTGAGACTTTGTGGTAATAAGTGGCTTGACTTATGGATAATCTATTCAGCCACATGGAAAAGGGTAACAACTTACAAATCTCAAATTATATTTTAAGGTTATAGAGTTCCAGTGAAACAGTAGAGACAACAACCATCGTTTCCATTGCTCGAATGATCATAATATTTGCGTATTTTCCCTTGGTTTTTTTTGCCTATTTATATTCTTCCTATATAATTATATATTTGTCGATGATACTAATCGGTATAATTGTTAGAAAAAACAACTTAAAGCTTTTTTTTTTTTTTTTTTTTTTTTTCAACTTAAAGCTTTTCTTTAGTTATTTTCCTAAAATCATAATTTGTCCACCCTAGAAACATTTAAAGTTGAATTTGCTATATAACTAAACCATAGATGATAATTTTCAAATGGAAACAATGACATTTTTATATATAAATAAAATGTGCTTTATCGTGTATGTTTAAAAAAAAAAAAATCATATTATCGAATAAAATAACACGTTATGTTTTGATCTTATGCGGGGAAAAAGAATCATAATGTTTACGAAAATGTTACACACGAATTTTGCAGTAAAAACCATGGTGGTTAAGTTGTCTTTTAACGTTTTAATTGTTATTTTTTGTGTGTGAAAAAAATAGCTAAAAATATTATTGTGAATGATGATGATTGGTTGTCGTGATTTCTAACCATAGTAGTATTTAAAGCCTTAAACCAGAAAACGGTCATTGAAAATTTTATTTTTTAAATCATATTTGAAATATCAGTATTAAAGTATTTGAAGAAATCGAACAAATCATAACTTTTTGGTATTTGGATGATAGTGGACACACCTTCGTATCAACTCCACATAATGAGTTGTACCAAAACGTATTTTATATTTTCTTTCCGCTTTTGCACGTTTTTTAAAATAAACACAAAAGCGAGGCTGCGAATCGAACACGTACCATGCGCGATTTGATTTTATTTGTAAATAAAAACTAAATTAAGGTGAACCAAAAAGGCAATAAAATGATAGAAATACAAAGAGATAAAAAAAAAAAAGTCAAGATATACTTTTATTGGAGTAATGGTGAGCACTTAAGGAAGCCAGCCAAAGCTTGGTAAGACGACGAGTCTCTCTCTATATGGAGAATGAATGTCCCACACGATTTGTTTCACGGTAGGACTCTCCTATAGGCTTGTTTTTTCTTATTTTATTGTTTCATTCATTATAACAGCCCACAATATCACTCAAAAATGAAATGAGATCATCCTCCAATCATCTATGTTAGGTTTTAATCTATGACAATCTTCAATCCTACGTCTACTCAACTATTTAGTTTCATGGATATAATTTGAATGAAAAAGCTACAATTTTTTTTAACCGGTTTCGATCATTTTACGGGTACATCTCGATGTAATTTTCTATGCTATTTCCACAAAATTTTTGATTTATTTACTGAAAAGATCGATTAGGTTTAGCATACTCGACATGTTTTCCAACCACATCAATGGATTAAAAGAGAATTGACGAAAAGACTAGACAAAAAAAACCCCAAAAATATCTAATTTGTAAAAGATCTAATTTTTTACGGGTTTTTCTCAACATAATTTTTTACGGGCCTTTCTCAATATAATGGAATAAAGAGGAATTGGCGAAAAGGCTAGACAAAAAAAAAATCCAAAAAACTCCAGTTATCTTCTCATAGAAACTCAAATTAGTCTTTGTATTTGCCAAAAAAAAATAAAAAAAATATGAAACTAGTCTTTCTGAGATTTAAAATGCTTAATAGATATGAAATCATAGTTGGATACATGATTACAATTTGAGAAAATGTAATGTATATAATGCATATGTAGAGATCTTATAACAAAAGAGTAGTACTGGTTAGAGAAAGGCCTAAAGGGCATGCATGCCCCTACCTATTGTTGTACCAACGTTAAATAAAAGCCACATTTCACCATACGACAATCTCCGGTCCTTTAGCTCTTTTTTGCTTCTTTGCTCTTCGATCTGACTAATTACTTTTACATGTTTTTACATGTTTTTGTTGTCCAATGTCCATCAGCACATGCTAATGCCGTATGCTATGAACATTGTCTTAATAGCTTGGTGAACAAATTTTGAAGTAAATTTTGGGCAATTCCTCCAAAATTTTCTATATAAATTTTTTGGAATGTTTTTTTTTTCTAAAAATATCTCCAATTTAGATGGAGTAAACATTGATAATATATTTTTCTCATTTTATGTTGAACATTTCTGAACCAAAACAATGAAAAATATAATTTACCAGAAAATTTGGTTAATCTTCGAAATAAACCAAAATAGTAATGAGAAGCGGTAGATCTAGGGTAAAACTACTGGCAATATTATTTCACGGGAATAATGTGATGACAAATGGTTATTTTATCCTTTTTAGTTAAAAACCAACCTAAACAAAGGTGTTAGTTGACTCAAAATTTGAGAAAGTATACATAAAAAAGAGTGGAATGGATCAATTTTATGTTCTTCTAAAATTATAAATAATAGCAGTGTGAATTGAATATGATAATTTTTTTGGCAAAATAATCATAAAATGCTAAAAAGGTAGCTTTATAGATTAATGGTGTTTTTTCTTCTTCTTCTAGTTCTAATTTTAAGACTTGTAGTATATAGCGTAATCATTTTATAGAATTTGATGAATTTAATGCGAAAATAGAAACCCGTTTGTGCGAGTAGAACCCGCACATGTTAACCAGATGATAAATCAAGTCAGTTTTGAAAAGGATTCGACCCAAAATCAACCAGATTATCTTTGAACCTTGGCGCACCATGATCGAAGATAATTCAGTCATGAAAAGGTGGTCCATGACCTAGTAGACTAGTACCGGACGATTTGATAAAGGAAATGGATGAGAAATGTGATGTTGGTAGATACTCAAAATTTGTAGACGATCTAGCCACCAGTTCCTTGATGCTTCGAGAACTCTCTGGAATTCCGTCAACCACCACGGTGTTTTGAATATTTATTGCCATTGCTAAAGCTCGATAGAGAAAAAAGTAAAATTAGGAATGAAAAAGAATTTTTTTTTTGTCATCGTATTTAATGCAAAATCAGTTTTTTGGGTAATTTATTCGGGTTTTTGGGTCCTTTGGGTCGGGTACTTTGGGTTGGAAAGTTTAGAATAAACCAAATGGATTTCTAATAAGATTGGTTTGGATTCTATCTGGATTCGGGTTGGTTTTCAAAATTTATTTTAAATCCAAGATAGAACCAAAATAATTTTTAACAAAATTTCTAAAAATAATTTGCCTAGTATTGAATCGATATATGCAATGTATTGTCGTAGTCTAATGGTTACATATAGATTTTATATAGTATGTGGGTTCGAAACCACTTAACAACGCTCTTTGATTTTTTCTTAAGTTTTGTTTCGTCTAGTATACATATCGGTGTGACGTAAAAACTCTAAATCTAAGAAAGCTCGAGACTGGTTCTAATTGCATGTCAAATGCAAGCTTCACGCGTCTTCCCAATTCTGGAATTTGGGCGATTGGTTACTGAAAACAAGGAGGTTGAAGCTTCAAGCATCATTGGTTCAACATTGCAAATTTTGAATTTGGGCGTTTGGTTATTGAATTTGGGCGTTTTGCTTATTAAAGTTGGGCGTAATCATTGGTTTGATTATGTAAGTCCGAAGGTTGCCTACGTAACCTTGTAAAGAGATCAAGACATTCGTAGTTCATACTAGAAAGAGATTTTTAAGTTTTTGTGTGATTTTTTTTATGAGTTTCTCTGATGCCATCTTCAAACAAATGCTTCTCTATTTATATGAAGAGGTAGTCCTTTTCGAAATATGCATAACTTCCTCATGTCTTCCACTTTCAAGATCTAGAATTGTGTTTATAAAGTTGTGAAGGGTCAATGTTGGAGAGAACCTTTGAGATATCACAGGTGATCGGTAAATGGCAGTACCCAAAAGTGAATTCTGTGACCACTTATGTTAAATTCTTATTAGTTATGTGTTAATAAGTTCCATTGTGGCCATTAACGTGGATTCTCCTCATCCTCGACTCCTCGTATATCCCAAATGAAAATCTAAACCAATAAAAAATTCAATCTTTTTCACAATTATCGATCATCGAAATCAAGAAAATCTTGATTTGAATTCTTTCCGATGAAACTCCTTCGGTATCCACCACTAACCTTCTTCCCTTTCTCCACTCCCTTAACTTCAAAACCTTTCTTCAAACCCATCAAAGTCTCCGTCTCCGTTCAAACTCCTCCGCCGGACTTCGATTTCCGAAACGAAATCGCGTCGGACTCACGCGCTGCAATTGCTAAAACTTTCCCGGAGTTGCTTGACCTCGCCGATAACGGGACTTTGATTCTTGTCCAGAAACAGTGTTTTGGTCCTGTTCCAGCTTGGCGCAAAGAGTTCGTTGAGCCAGAAGCGATTTGGCTTGTGGGTACTTCTCATATCTCGCCGGAATCTGCTTCCGTCGTTGAACGCGTCGTCCGTACGGTGAAACCTGATAATGTCGCCGTCGAGCTCTGTCGTAGCAGGAAAGTTTATTTCTTTATCCAGTTGAATTTAGGGTTACGTGAAAGTTGATGCTTTTGGGGAAATTTGGAATAGTTTAGACTTTGTAGTGAGATTGATGAATTGAAGTATCTGACAGTAACACAATGCAGAGATTGGTGTTGATGTTGCAGAGCTGGGATTATGTACACTTCGAGTGTTGAAGGAGAGGTAGACCAAAACTTAAAATCCGGTGTGTTGTCGTTGACGGGGACTGGATTTCTCGGTGCTGTTGGCCGGAGTTTAGACTTGGGTATATAACAAACTAATCATAATAACTTCATGTACTTGTTTTTGTTTCAATGTTTGATTTTTTCGTGTGTGTGTTGTGTTGGTTGGGATGATTATAGGAGGCCAAACTGCGTTGGCTTTGCGACTTCTCTTGGCGGTTTTCTCTTCTAAGTTATCTTCTGTTGCTGACCGACCTTTTGGTGATGAGGTACTCTTGAGAATCCATATGATTTAAGGGTTTGTTTTTGGACTTGGAGATTGTTATTGATTAAGATTGTTGCAGTTTCGTGCAGCTCGGAAAGCTTCTGAGGAAGTTGGTGCGCAGCTAGTTCTTGGAGACCGACCTATCGAAATAACAGTAATGCTATAAGGATCTTTATAACAAAATGATCGTTTTTGTAGTAGTTACATATGGATTTTTTAAAACCAATGGGATCATATGACTCTTATAAAACGTTGTAGCTCCAAAGGGCTTGGAACTCTTTGAAATGGGGAGAGAAGTTTAATCTGGTAATGGCTGTGACTCGGGCAATCACATCGTCATCGGGTATATCCGCAGCCGAGCTTAAGGTTTTGTTCTCTTTCCTCAACTTGATTTCCTTAAATTTCAAGAATATAATAACTAATAAGTTCTAACATTCGGTTTGTATATGCATTGCAATAGGAACAAGAGACCGATGAAAGCAATGGAAGTTTGCAGCTTTATGAACGGCTTAGTTTCTCATACCCATCACTCCTACTGCCTCTGATACACGAAAGAGACACCGTAAGCATAAGAACCGAAACAGAGCCAAATCCAAAAACCGAATGCCTAAAATGTGTAGAGACACTTTTTATCGATAGCGATTGATGGAAGAATGTTTTTGCTTTTGCAGTATCTAGCTTGGTCATTGAAGAGAAGTAAGGCAGTGAACGGGTGTAAAACAGTAGTGGGAGTAATCGGAAAAGGACACATGAATGGTGTCATCTACGCATTGGTGTCAGACTCCGGGGATCTCCGGTTTAGAGACTTAGTAGGAAGAAGAGATTCAACTGATGGTGTTACTACATCGAATGGTTGGATTCAAAAGGTTTTAAAGAGCCTCGCAAGAGACACAATCATAGGGTTCTTGTTATGGGAGTTATATGAACAATATCTCAAGTTTATGATGATGAATCAAAACCTTCCATGATAACTAAAAAAAAGCAACTCCAAAAAAGAAACTGTAAAAAAAATCTAAATGAGTATATATGTATATGATTATTTTTCTTCTAGATTTTTGTTGTGTCAACGACTTCAAAGACTTGGAGAGTACATATGGCTTTTTCTTTTTCAATTCATTTTTAATATTAGTTTAAGGGTTTTTGACGTCAATAAAATAGATTTGTTTGACATAAATTAAAATATAATGTGAGTTACAAAAACTTATAATTAGCATTATAATTTTTTTTTTAAAATTTATATTGTTTTTGCAGAATTTCAATTGGAATGTTTAAGTAAAAAAATAATTGGCCCAAAGTGGATCCTAGTTATTAACGAAAAGGATAAAAAATAAATAAAAATACATTTATATATCTGTTTTCACTTACGTTATCTGGAGAGAGCCTCGAAGAAAGCAATAAAAATCTAAAGAAGCTTGTTTCTAGGGTTTCGACTTTCGACGGCCGGTACGATTATCATCAACTGCTTCTTCTAAGGTATAATTAAAATCGAGTTCTTCAGATATTGAATTCTATCGTCTCTTTGGTCTCTCTCTCTTTTCTTTATTGCGTTTGTTGAAATTTCTAGCTTCTTTTGCTTTGTTTTCTTATATGGTTGATGTTTCAGATCTGGGTTTTATCATTGCTTGAAAAAAATCCATACTTTAGCTGCGGTTTCTTTGATTATGAATTATGATGGGATGTTATAAATTTGAAGTATATTCGATCAAAATTTGATGTTTTGTGTTATGGGTTGTGAATTGAAGTTATAAATTTGAAATCTTGAAGTATATTTTGATCAATATTTGCATTGGTATATTATTGGTTGTGATGTATTGGAGTTTGATTATTCCAGTAATAAATGTGAAAACTTTGAAGTATATATATATGATTAAAATTTGCTTTGGTTTGGTTCCTGTTATGTTCATTGACCATGTATTTTGGTCAAAGCTGTGCTCTGTTTGGTATCTTCTGTTGTTGCTTAGGTTGTTGACAGTAGCTGTATCGTTTCTGTGGTCTATTTTGTAGGAAACATGAAGCCTGTCTTTTGCGGGAACTTTGAGTATGATGCTCGTGAGAGTGATCTTGAGCGGCTTTTCAAACGATACGGCAAGGTTGAGAGGGTTGATATGAAAGCTGGTAAGTCTTGGTTCTTGTTTTTTTAAATACTTTCTCTTTGTTTTTTCTTTTTTCTTTTTGGTTGAATTGAATGGATAAAGAAGTCTGGTAAACCGCTGCAAATCCGATGAGCAAGCGAAATTCGAATGTGTTGTTCATATTATCCACTCACACGCTCATTCCACGAGAATCTCTGGAGGACTGTCCTTTCAAAATGTGCTCTCTGGCCTCTGCATCCCACATTCCGTATTCCCACCGTTTCGTTTGTCATCTGATTCCAGCATCTGCCAAGGAACTACTTGAAGCACCCCGCATTAAGTTCATAACATACCTCAGAAGAGAAAAGATCGAGTAATTATAGGGTAAAAACGCCATACTCAACATTTGATTTTGGCGCAGGATTTTTTTCTATCTTGGGATGCCCATTCTCCCACCATCCCGCCCATTGATGGACCATATGGATAATCCATTTCCTGCCCAAAAGAGTCACACTCATCCGAGCAATGGCAATACATTCCCTTAACCCCGACTTAGTTGCATTTCATTCCTCTTGACTTTTCTACTCTTGGACATGCCTCTTTGGTAGAATCATACCAACCTCTCACAGCAGAGGCAGCAGATCAAATGGAGAATGCACCTCTGCGTTTCTGTTCACAATTCCGTCTCATCTCCTCCTCATTTTCAGTTCTTCTTCTTTGACATATTAATTCCATAATGCAAGGTCTGTAAAACTACTCATAGTTTGTAGAGTTTTTAGGTTCTAGGGAATGTTCAAAATTTATTTGTCACAGTAAGTATAAAGGTTATGTTGATGCTGCTGTGGAAGGAAGAGTCTTCATATTAGAATTCCTTCTGGAGGAGGTTCTTTTACTTGGTTTATTTGATAAGATTGTTCTTACGTTTTGATTTCTGCCTTTTGGTTATTTCCCCAGGGTTTGCTTTTGTCTATATGGAAGATGAAAGAGATGCTGAAGATGCCATCCGAGCGCTTGATCGCTTCGAATATGGCCGCACGGGACGCAGACTCCGTGTTGAGTGGACAAAGGTAGAAACTTGAATATCATTTTAAGAGTTACTATCAGGACGGATTTAGTGATGGAATGCAAATTCTAATACTTGGTATAGAATGACCGTGGAGGTGCTGGAAGATCAGGTGGTTCGAGGAGATCATCGTCTGGCATGAGACCTTCCAAGACTCTGTTTGTGATCAACTTTGATGCACAGAACACTAGGACTCGGGACTTGGAGAGACACTTTGAGCCATATGGAAAAATTGTTAATGTTAGAATCAGAAGGAATTTTGCATTTATCCAATATGAGTCACAAGAAGATGCCACCAGAGCACTGGATGCTACAAATTCAAGGTTTCTTTCTGCCCATTTTCACATTCTCATTTGTCCCAAATGCTTTCCCTACTTCATCTTCCACTGTCTGTTTTTTTGTTCTTGCAGTAAGCTGATGGATAAGGTGATCTCAGTGGAGTATGCAGTGAAAGATGATGATTCGAGAGGGAATGGGTACAGTCCTGAAAGACGGCGTGATAGGTCACCTGATAGGAGAAGGCGGTCACCTAGTCCTTACAGAAGAGAAAGAGGCAGTCCTGACTATGGCCGAGGAGCTAGTCCAGTAGCTCACAAAAGGGAAAGGACTAGTCCTGATTATGGTCGAGGACGTCGCAGCCCCAGCCCTTACAAGAGAGCCAGGCTTAGCCCAGATTACAAGAGGGATGACCGTAGGAGGGAGAGAGTGGCTAGTCCAGAGAATGGAGCTGTGAGGAACCGGAGTCCAAGAAAAGAACGTGGTGAAAGCAGGAGTCCTCCGCCATATGAGAAGAGGAGGGAGAGCAGGAGCCCTCCTCCATACGAGAAGAGGAGGGATAGCAGGAGTCCTCCTCCATATGAGAAGAGGAGGGAGAGATCAAGGTCAAGGTCGAAGTCAAGCCCTGAGAATGGTCAAGTTGAAAGCCCGGGACAAATAATGGAAGAAGAAGCAGGAAGAGGATACGATGGTGCAGACAGCCCGATACGCGAGAGGTACCCCATCTCTAGCTATCTTTAGATTACATTTGAATGGTATCAATATCATCATCATACTTACATTTTGTTATGGTTTGAACTTGAAGCAGCCCCTCTCGTTCGCCTCCAGCAGAGGAATGATTGGAGATGCAGACAGATGATTGTGTTGGATTCACAAACAAAAGATGTCTCTCAAAGTAGCTGTATCTGAAACTCAAGTGTTTTGTTATGTCATGTTTAGTATTTTAGTGTGGTCTTTTGGGTCTTTTGTTAAGTGCTTTTGTAAACTTTATTATGACTCCATTCGAAATCGCTTGTCGTAGTATTTGGTTAAAAAATTGCTTTTTATTTTGGATTACTCTATATCTGACTTTAGATGTTTATGAGTGGAGTTTATGTTCAAATCTCTTTTTTAACACTAAAACAAAAAAAAAAAACAGCTAAAGATTAAGACGACAGGATCGGAAGTTTTAAGTTTGGTCAATTAAAGTGAATATACACATGTTGCTAGTTTCGATTGTGTCGAACCTAATTTTTGTATTTCGGTTTCACTTTTCTTACACTCATTTTTTTTTTTTTCATTTTTGAAGTATAAAGCATTTTGTTTCAGTTTCTCTTATTGTCGCCAGTTCTGGTGGAGGCGGTCCCTTGTCGCCGTGAACGTCATGTTTCCGATCTCATTCCTCCGGTTGCTTTGGCCGGTTTGTCTTTTTCCATTTTGTGCTTCTGGATCCGTGTAACTCCAATGTCTAAAGCTTTTGTTCCGGAAGTGAATATAATTATTATTTATATTTAAAAAAACATGTTGTTTTATAAAATATTTTTGCAAAGTGTGTAATTTATTAAACACGAATGTAAAAAATTTCTTGACGTTTATGTTTACATTTCTTTGTTCAAAATGCTTAAGGTTGCTGATCTATTTAATAAATTGAAGGTTATGCATTTGTTCTGAATGAAAATATGAACACAAGCTCAAACAAACGGACAAAACCGTAGTAAGTAACATCAGATTTTCATGGGAATTGTCAGTGGTTAGATAATGCACCTAGCTAGAAACCAATATGGTAATACTTTTTAAAAATACATTATCTTACCATTATTTTATGTGATGGGTAACTAAAAATGAGGAAGTTAGGCAGAAACATTACTATAAAGGATAGGTGTAGTAAAAGAGTGGTTTACTTATTAGGCTAAAACTACTAGAAAAAGTAAAGAAAAAGAGAGTGTCTCACTTGTTGAGACATGAGAGTCTAAAAACGCAACTAGCTCCCACACACATTATCTCATCTTATCGATCACTAACAAAATTCAAGCACTGAACGCAATCTTAACGTACTAATTCTATCTTCCCTGAATCGTGACTTGATAGTTTTGATAGAGACACTAAGCTTTGTTTCTTCCCAACAAGTTTAATGTTCGTGATAACATGCAAAGTTAACGTCACTAAATCGTTTAAATTATATTACAAAATTATCAATAATAGAATAATACTCCCTCCGTTTCAAAATGTAAGACGTTTTGAGGTATTATTTTTGTTTCAAAATGGAAGACGTTTTCAAGTTTCTATGCAAATTATATATTAATTTAATATTTTCTGATTATTTATATTATGCAGTTTCATTCATGATTAGTTGAACTTTTTAAAAGTGGATATTTCTTAATCTGCGTGCTCTTTACTAAAATGTCTTATATTTTGAAACGGAGGGAGTATAGTTTTGCAAGTCAAATTGAATATGAAAGGGGTTTCACTGTATGTTTCTCTGCTTCAAATTGAAATTGAATAATTTGTCGACTTACTTAGATTTGTATAGAGTATATGATAAAGTAAAATAGGGAATATATATATAAGAAGTGTGATGGTCCCAATTAAACATGGACCGTTGGATGTGTTAGCCGTAAAAATGATGATGAATCCCATTTGGCTTCAACTTCATCAACTCCGCTTGTTGTTGCTTTTAACCCAACAAGTCCCTTCTATTCTTTTGACTTTCATAACACAAAACTCTTTATGTTACGGCTATAAAGATTAAAGACAAACTTTTGTTTTGTCTCTTTTTATTCTTTACGTATAATAAAAGAGTAGGAATCTATTATTGTGAATTTGTGATTATCTTCGGAAAAGGGAAGCAAAAGAGTATATATCACTTGTCATAGATTTACAACTAATAACTACATTAAATATTGTCTTAGCTGGAAAGATAGATTGATTAAGAAAATGAAAAAGATGGAAAAAGATACTTAACATAAAACCAAAAATAAATAAAAAGGATGGACAATGGGGAACGAGAAGTTGGTTACGAATTTATCCAATGAATCTAGTTGATATTCATTGACACATCATGGTGTTACTATTGAAATCTCTAAAGTTTTACATGTAATATTGAAAAGTTATTAAACTATAATATCTATAGTCAATGTTGATGATTCGTTTTCAACCAAATGAAGAAATGCTCTAAGTGAAAAGAATCTACATTGTCCTTTTTTCAACATTAAGTAATCCTACACACTGTTTAAATATTGAATTTTAGACATGGTTAAATCTATTATTTTAGTAGATTTTGATTTTTTTTCATTTCCAAATTACTAATTTTGGTAGCAATCTATGTCACTCTTTCGGGCCAGGTAGAAAAACCAAATCACAATTTTAACCGAATTTGATTAGTCCAAATCAAGATAATGAGGCCGATTGGTAACGATTGTTACTTCTGGCTATAGAGACTTTTGCTGTAAGAATTTTAACTGTATAAATTTTATAACCGATTGGTAAAAAACTATGACTGTAGAAATTAATTTATAAGTGAATGTTACAGGAATTTACATACAAATGGAGAAGAAGAAAAGAGAAAAATTATAAAATTAATTTATATACTTTAGGAGTTTACAGTTTTTCTCTCTTTTTTTCTTCCTCATATGACTATAAACTTCCATAACATTCATTAATAATTTAATTTTCTCAACACAACACAAGATAATGCATATTTGCATATATTTCCTTCGTTTTTAGACCAACATTTTCTCAGAAAATAATTTTTATAAAAAATTTGGACTTTCATTGGGAGGTTTCTTTGATTAATCGTGAGAATACTAGACCTTTGATCTACTAACAATCAGTGACCAGATTTGTTACCAATTAACGCTCTCATTTAGTAGACAAGTTCGTTAGTCAAGTATGTATGGTCCAATTTTTTTCAGTACCCGAAATCAGCTTTTACATATTCCAATTTAAACTCTTTGTTCCAAAAGGAATTTGAACCGGAAAACAAAGAAATCAACCACCTTGTACTACTACTATACCACCACCACCACCACCTTTTGATTTGTTTCATTATTTACTTTGTTTTTGTTTCTCTCCATTGGTATATAAGTACAAATAACACATGATCAGAGCAACACGTGTTATAAGCAGTGAAGTTCTTTACAAAACATCCAGAATGAGATCTACCGAAAGGCGTTTTATATATTTGACTCGATCCACTTTAAGAAAAACATCATAAAAAGAGCAGAAATAGACAAATAAATGTATACATGCTTGTATTAATATTCTTTTGTCAATACCACCTTTAACAAAAAAAAAAACTTTTGTCAACATAAATGAACAACATAGTCCCGTAGTTACAAGAGAAAACAATTATATAGGACAAAAAGGTACGGCAGAAAATATTGCACGACGAGTTGCAATCGTCGACAAGATAAACATGACCACCTCCCCTTTCAATTCCAAAAGTATGATAAGGGTCTAAAAGTTATATGCTTCTATATTTTATTTCACTTTAGTTTCTGTCAATTTAAAAATATTATAGAATAGATATTGTATTGATTATTATTGATTTGTTGTGATAAATATTATATAGTATCTGTTATAGAATTAATTAACATTATGCTACATCCACATAATGTGAAGTTTTATTATCTAACACTAAAACATAAATAAGATAAATCTAAAAAAAATTGTTATAAATAAATATCGATATCTAAAGAAATTGTTATGTTGGTCATTTAATTTCATAATCCGACTCTAATAGCCCGTAATTGTTAGTACACAAGATACACATTTTGTTCATGAAATTATCTCCCAGTCTTAAGGTCATATAGCCTTAACATATTTATACAAGTACAAATTCAACACAAGATTAATAAAAAAAAAAACTTCAACACAAGATAATGCATATTCGCATTTATTTCTTGTCCTTGTATCGCAATATATTTTCTAGCATTCTCCCTCTGAGGTTACAAAGATCCAACTTGTAAAATAACGTGTCAAATAATTGTTTCGATGTGTTCTCATATAATTGGATCATAAGTTATACGTCTCTTTGGACCAAAAACAAAAGTTATGTCTCTAAAAGATAATTTGTTCAACTAAAAATGATGGGACATGTAAGAATTTAGGAAATCTAGTAAATCCGGAAGATGTCATTAAAATTTACTAATAAACCAATATAAACACGAGAGACCGATGTAAACCGTCTTCGTCCTATCGAAACTTATGTTTGTTCAAGTAAGGACAAAATAGATTTGCAAAACATCTCAATTAGAAAAGAGAATTCAAATAGGAAGATAATAATGGGTATGGGCATACGTTAAGTCGTTAAGTCCCTTTTCTTCAATGTGTTATGCAAGGTACAAATTCAATTCAATGAACTGAAATATTAATACAATGAATTAGACTAAACATATTCTGTAACTTTCTCAGTCTTTCACGCACTAGTTACAGGAATTAATGGCTAACTTAAAAAAAATAAGCAATCACAAAATGGTAATTTAATGTACCTTGCTTCACGAGGAGTTAACCATTCTGATAGATAATTTAATGTACTTGAATTATACAGTAGAAATAGATAATCTCATAATCATGTTATCATTGTAGCAATAAATATTTTTAATTTTTATTTTATTTTTTACTTTGATTAGAAACATCATATATATGTAGCATTAGACATGGATAAAATTTGTAACAAAAAACACGATTCTGCAGCTACAACAAGCTGAAACTTGAAACCTTATGAAAAGGATGAAAAACCTTTTCTTATGTTACTTTAGGTATAGAAAATTTAGCGAAGTATAGTTGTTGACAAAAAAAATGTAGGAACAGAGTTTTTTTTTTTTTTTTTTTGTCCCAAAATACAAGTTCTCTTCCTACAATGTTTTCTTTGGTCCCAAAACGATTTGTTTTTTTTTTTCTTCTTTCAGTGTTGAACACTATTTTGCTTCAATATGTCTGGTCAACGTCCGACCAGCCAATGCCACTTCATAGATTGCATATTAACGAACTTCCATCTTTTTATTGATTAGAGTTTTCTTTCATTATACCATATAAATTTTCCCTTTTTGCCTAAAGAAAAAAATATGACC